CGCAATAGTGCATGATACACGATAGTACACGATACACGATAGTGCTACAACCAGGGTGAATCTTGAGGACAAATATTTCAGTCCACTTACCTGAGATGTCTAGTAGCCAGATTCATAAACAGAGAAAGTAGGGTGATGGATCCTGGGATTCAGGGCTGGGGGTGGGAGGGTTGGGGAGTTACTATTTAATGGGTATGAAATTTCGATTGAGGAAGATGAAAAGGTTCTGGAAATGAATAGTGGTCATGGTTGCACACCAATATGAATGTCACAGCAATCTACCAATTACATCTTAATCTCTTCATTTTACGGATGAGGAAACTAACCCAGGGAGGTTTAAAAGCTTTATCCAGGTTGTTGTTGTTGGCATCTGGATTTACTGATAGGGTTGCCAAGTGCAGTGGACAGCAAGTCTCTCCACGAGGTACGCTGACATCCATGAAAGCCGGATTCCAAAAATCAGTAGGATTATATGAAGGGTGAATGGACAGATGATGCTACTTGAAGGGACTAGTGTGTACCAAGACAAAGAGAATGTTTAAAAGCCTGTTCAGACAGTGTTAAGAGCCCTGATACGTAAGAGTTGAACCCTGAAGAGTAGGTTGGGGCAAATTATGAAGGACTTTAAAAGATGTGGCAAGACTTGAACTCTCCCCGCTTCATCATGATCAGCCACTGGACAGGAGATTGAAACATTCAGAGTCCAATTTCAAATTCGAAATGATAGTGATGGGACTTGAGGACTCCTGGAGTCTTGAAGAGCTGATGAGAGTCTCAACAGTGAGGATGAAGGAAAGGAAAGCTCTCTGCAGGAACCACTGACAGGACTTTTTTGACTCATGGGGTGGAAAAATGGGAAGAGTCTGGGGACTATGCCAGGGTTTCTAAATTATACTCATAAATGGATAATGACCAATAGCCAAGTTAGGGCATATAGGAGAATGCACCAGAGGGGGAAGAATGATGGAAAGGCTTGTGGAATATTGAATGGGCTATTTTAGGTGCGTCCCTCAGGCCCAAAATCATGGCTGGAATCGCTCATCCAAGTGGCAGTGAAACCTGCGTCCAAACTGAGTTAAATAGACAAGGTTAACTTTGCCATAGATATAAACAGATGTCCTATTAAGCAATATATAGATATATATTTACATAATATATGTTATATATAAATATATTTAGATTATGTGACATACAATATATAACATAAATATATATTAGAATACTATCAGGATATACTTTTTCCTGCATTCTGGGGATCTGACTGACATCTAACACTAAGGCATCCAACATAATGATATGGTATATGTATATATTGTGAAACGGTCATCACAGGTTACATTAACACCTCCTATGATGCTGGGAAAGATTGAGGGCAGGAGGAGAAGGGGACGATAGAGGATAAGATGGTTGGATAGCATCACTGACTCAGTGGACATGGGTTTGGATGGACTCTGGGAGTTGGTGATGGACAGGGAGGGCTGGCGTGCTGTAGTTCATGGGGGTGCAAAGAGTCAGACACGACTGAGTGACTGAACTGAACTGATAGTCACCATATTTTCTCTTATAGGCAGATTTTTTTAATATGCATATTTAAAGCTTATATAGGAAATGTGTATATGTGGAGAAGAAAAACTATCTGTAGATAAAAACAGGTTTAGAAGTTTGAGCCTTATGGAAAGACAGAGCAGTAGGGAAAATCCCACTGTCATGCAGGGACTCTAAGGCAGAATTTCCGCCTGAATGTACAGCCTTAACCACCCCATCCCACTCCTGTCCAACTCTCTGCACCCTCCAAAAAAAACCAGCAAAATCTATCTGATAAAGAATGATTCCAAATGTTTTTAATCAACAATGTGTTGTTCTTCCCAAGACACAAAAGGAGTTCAGAGATGACATACTCACAAAAAGATGTTAATTCCACCCAGTCACTATGTGCATGTTGCTTGTTTCACAATCCATTGCTTCACTAAGGCTCCTCCACCCCTTCTCTTTTGGCTGTTAACCCATACAACGCTTTGAGTGCTCAGGGCTGGGTGTTTCCATTCTCTCTTTCTTTTTTCTTTTTCTCTTTCTCTCTTTTTACTCTTGATTTTAACCTTCAGGAAATAACGCACATACAAATAGACACAGCCCTATTTTCTTGTGTGTGTGTGTGTGTATGGACACCGAATATATCCATGGAACTCTGGTTCTGTTCATTCTCTTCTCTTGTAGGGAAGAGAAATATGTAAGATGGTTTGAATTTACACATTAATTCACATTTATGTTATTAATAGCTCTTAACTAAATGTTTCAGGATTTTCACCAAGGATAGCAATGCTTTTAAACTGTGATCCTTTCAGCAACCTACTTTACTTATAACAAGATTTACGGAATAATTTTGACGTTAACTCCTTTAAATAATTCAATATCAACAGACTAGGGAAAAGAAGGGGCAGGGGGAAGATTTTTCTACTTTGATGAACATAGGGGGAGTCAACAGAGGTCACAAGAATGTGCTGCTGTTTCGAGTTATTTCCACATTAGGTGTATGATTCACTCTGGCATGTCCTCAGCTTGTTCTGGTTTTTAAAATTTTTAATTTTTATTGTGTATTGGAGTATAGTTGATTTAGAATGTTGTGTTAGTTTCAGTATACAGCAAAGTGATTCAGTTATACACATACTCATTCTTTTTCAGATTCTTTTCCCATATAGGCGATTACAGAATATTGAGTGGAGTTTCTGTGCCCTGCAGTAGGTTCTTGTTGGTTATCTATTTTATAAATAACAGTGTGTGTGTGCCTCAACCCATTCTGTATCAGTGGTGTATACAGTCTGAGAATCGAAGGTGTTTGGGCTCAATGGGTATTTCTGACCCATCGATGCCACATCTTAGCCACTGGGCCACCAGGGAAGTCCGCAGGGTGGATGTCGGGAAGATATGCGCTGATGGACCCCAGCTGGTTTCACAGCCCTCATTCATTCTGATTTCTCAGTGTCAGTGCCCTGCTAGCTGTTTACTGTTCATATCAACCCGGCTTATAGATTAGCTCCTAGAACAAGGTTAAGTGCTAGATAATGTCTTCATCATTGTCATCATTACATCTCTGTACTTTCAAGAACTGATTTTTTTATGACAGAGGTCTTTTAGCTACATATAAATAGATAAATAAATCCTGATTAAAGCTATTAAATATGAAAAGGTATTATTGCTTAAGTATTAGTTTGAGGTTATAGTAAAGGGACAACTATAAGTTTTCATGATAATTTATTCAAGGAAAGATAACTCTACCTTGACTTTGCCTGTTTTAACCAAATATTTTTTATTGATGTATAGTTGCTGTATATTATGTAAGTTATAGGTATATAGTATAGTGATTCACAATTTTTAAAGGTTATACCTCATTTATAGCTATTATAAAATAGTGGCTATATTCTTGTGTTGTGCAATATATCCTTGTAGTTTATTTCATACCAAGTTATTTGTACCGCTTACCCTGCACCCCCATATTGCCCCTCCCCTCACCTCTCTCCCCACTGGCAACCACTAATTTGTTCTCAGCACCTGTGAACCTGCTTCTTTTTTGTTTTATACACTAATTTATTGTATTTTTTTAGATTCTACATATAAGTGATATCATATAGTATTTGTCTTTCTCTTTCTGACTTATTTCTCTTAGCATAATGCCCACCCAGTCCATCTGTGTTGCTGCAAATGGCAAGATTTCACCCCTTTTTATGGCTGAGTAATATTCCACTATGTATGTTTACCACATCTTCTTTATCCATTCATCTTTTGATAGACACTTAGGTTGCTTCTGTATCTTGGCACTTCAAATAATTTATTTTAACTACAAATACAGGTGTGTGTGCAGAGATATTATTATTATGGTTATGTGAGAAAAAAATCCTTTAGTATTACATATATGATATCTACATAAAAAAGATCAGTCATGAGTTGGTCATTGTTAAAGCTGGACAAGGTGTACATGAAGATAATTACATTATTTTCTCAACTTTTGTATGTATTTAAGTTTCATGTAAAAATGATGGAAACCCAAACACATGCATACACACACTTATATATTGTTTGGTTTAAATAATCCATGCTGATCTCATCCATTCACCAGACTTCTTAGCTTGAACTGTAATGAGCACTAATTTTCCAGTGTTTCAGAGCATTTGCGACCCTTAGAAATTATCTGCAACAAAGTCCTCATCTTACAGACGAAGCAGTTGAGTCTTTATTGGCAAACCACACATTACTAATTACGCCTTGTGACCGTGTCTCCTAATGTCCTAATCCAGCCTCACCAACAATGCCAGGACCAGAGCAATTAGTTGTACCTCCCAGGGCATCCTTCCTCACACTTTATGGAAGCACTTTTTCTCCCGTGGCCTCTTCCTTCACTTGGTTTAGGTAGAGAAAGGTTATAATGTAAAATACATTTTATTTCCATCTCTTATCACTTGATCATGTGGCCGTTTTAGTTCTGAGTGTGTGTCATCCTAATATTTCCAGATAAATGTGCTGAAAACTGCTGTTTCAGAGATAAACTTGTAAAGCAAGGACTTATTTGGCAAGTTTGCTTACTCACACCTGACATCATTTTTGTGTTCGTTTTCAAGTGGGAATGAAGTTCTCTGTGGCTCTGGTGCCATCACCCACAACCTGAGGCATTCTCTTTTTCCAGTCAGGGTGTCCTACATGGTTGTGAATTCCTAAATGTCACCCACTTATCCACTTGGCCCCGAGGAGTCTAGTTCTGTCTGGGAAAACAGTCCCGTTGTCACTCTGAGACAGTCCCTAGAGTTCGGCTCAATCTTGGACCAAGCAAATTGCCGAGAGGTCAGGCATGGAAGTGCAGGCTGAAATGAACCTTCCTCTCCACAAGCTTTTCTTCTCGACTTATTTGCCCATTGATGGGCCTTTTGGAGGAAAAGAAAGAGATGGGACAGTTATCCCCAAGAACCAGGCTTTTATTAGACTGTTTATATATGGATTTCTTCCTTTTTCAGATGGGTGAGTCAAACGAAGATATAGACCAAATGTTCAGCAATTTGCTGGGAGAGATGGATCTCCTGACTCAGGTACATTCTCCTTCTTAACTTTCAAATTGGGAGTGGGGGGGAAACAGTGTTACCAAATTTGATTCTAATATGACAAGGGAGCTATCTTTCTAAAGACTGGAAATTGACAATGTTATATAGTCCTGCTCTAACTGTAGTAGGGGAAAAAAATAAAGCTTTTTTCCTGACTATTACCTTTCTGAGTTCAGTTAACTGAATACCTGGGTCATACACACATTCTGTTATGGCTATTCTCATGCTCATGGTATTGGTCCCCAGGCAAACCCTCTGCAACCACCACCCTCACTGAACAATTTCCCTGGCAGTTACCTTTATGTAAAGGCTAATCAGCCCATGACTTTCTGCATAAAGCACTAAAATAAGAATCATCCAATATTCCTAAATAAGACAGGGATCCCAAAGTTTTTTACAAAATAAATGAAGACTAATCTATTTTTTATGTTTACTTTAGAAAAATAAATCAGTACTAGTTAGCATCTACTTTATATTCTGTATGAAATTCAAGGAGGTTCAGACTCTATGAAGGAAGAGACAAAAGATGAGACAATAGGCTTAGAGAAAAGGGGTGCTGACTAAAAACCAGAGGGATGGTGTTAGGATGGTAGCCACATTTCTGTAGATCTGAGGACTTTTTTCCACCAGTGAAGGGGAAGAGTTTGATGAATGTCTGTGTGTCTCTGTCTACTCATTTCTGCTCCATAGAGGAATGACTACCCTGTTTGATCCGTTTGGGATTTTCATAGTTAGTATTGTTGCTGTAACCTCCAGAGTAAGACGGGGACCCCTCAGAGTGTCTTGGATCTGCCTTTACTGAGAGCCTTTCTGAGTTTTGATCTTTACTATGCTGAAGTGAGTCCAGTCACAGGGTTTGTTTGGCTAAAACTGATTAAAGGAATTCCTTCCTAAAACTAGTTTCCTTTCTCTTCTTTCCCTCTCTGTTTTACTCAAAGCCTGTTACATCACACATTCATGGATACATATTTTTATAGAGAACTATTTCTAATTTCTTTAAGTAGCCTGATATATTCCTGAGAAAAAAATGAGTTGGCTTTGCTAATTGCAATGTTATACTTCCTAATTATAGTGTTTAAAAAGCAACTACTTAATGAGTATTTGTGTGTGTGTATGTACACTTCCTTCCACTAATTTTTTTTTGCTCCAGTATCTGCCCCATAGTTTCTCCATCAGCCTTCCCTTTTCTTGGCAATTTTTGCAAGCTTATTCTGGTTTTTAGAATGAATTCTGGGGTTGCAGTCATTCTTCCCTACATTTTATCCTTGATTCTAATTGTTTGGTTCATTTTTTTAAGCTTCTTGATTAATGGTCTTTTTTTTTCTACTTATAACTGATAGTATCTCATTTAATTTATTCTCAAAAATATAATGATTGCTTCTTTCAGAAATTTAAAACATGACCAAGGATATTACTACATCAAATTAACATCAAAAAATACACTTACTGTCATGAAAACATTCATGAGTTAGGAACCAGTGAAATCACTTCTCAAACTATGAATTTAAAAATATTTTAAAATAGCTTTTAAATCATACAAGAAGTCACTTTTTCACTTAAAAAATAATGTTATTTACAAAATTAGTAACTTATTGTGTCTTCATTTCTTTTTAACAAGAGTTTTATTCAATAAGAGCAACAGCATTAACATTTTACTGTATAATAAAAGATTGCATCCTGAATAGTTATTTTCTTCAAGTGACTAAATATTCCTTTCTTTGATGTCATAACTTAAGTCTTTGTGAATTATTTACAGTGAATGTGTCACAAGTGCACCATTACCAGAAATTTTTTCTGTTGTTTATTAAAACAAACAACTTCATTCTCATCAGTCTCAGTTGATCTGTTTTGTTTCAAAGGTACTTTCTAGAATAATTTTTAACCTGTCATTTTCTGTAGGGAAAAAAAATCACCTAAAATGTGCAAATAAGAATACAGTTTTTAGAGAACATGTTTAGAGAGAACATGGGTAAACAGAGATGATTCTTTACTTAATGATTAATTTGCCCTGCAAAAATGTGAGTATCCTGAATAACTTTGGGGCTGGGGATCTGTTTTCACAGAGTTTAGGAGTCGACATTCTCCCTCCTCCAGAATCCAAACCACCTAGAGCTGAATTTAACTACACTGTGGGGTTTAAGGATTTAAATGGTAAGCCTCATCATTTCTTTTCTTTAGTAATTTGAAATCATAGCAATGACTAAAATCTGTCAGAGTGTAATTGGTAGCACTAGAAAACTAGGAATACACTTCGTTAGTTCTACATATATTCTTTCTGAGGTTTTTAAAATTCACTTAATTTTATGAAGAAGTTATGTGCAAAACAGCACTGGCTTAGGAGGAAATAAACCCTTTTTACATAGTTAGGAGATCCAAACTTCAGTCCAATGCTGTACATAGAACCATTGTTGTTCAGTGACTAAGTCATGTCCAGGTCAGCGACCATGGATTGCAGCATGCCAGGCTCCTCAGTTTTCCACTATCACCTGGAGTTTGCTCAAATTCATGTCCATCAGGTTGGTGTCCATGAGATCTAACCATCTCATCCTCTACCGCCCGCTTTTCCTTTTGCCTTCAATCTTTTCCAGCATCAGAGTCTTTTCCAATGAGTCAGCTCTTTGCATCAGGTGGCCAAGGTATCAGAGCTTCAGCTTTAGCAACAGTCCTTCCAATGAATATTCAGGGTTGGAACCATTAGCATTAATGTAATGATATGCTACATGGTGTTTGTGCTCTTGACATTTGACAATAAATGATTTCCCCATGCTTTCTGCTCCTTTGTTCCTGAGAAGGCTGTATTTCCCCCATTCCCATTTCCTCAATCTTGTTCACGTTGCACACAGCAGCTAGATTTCTCTTCCTCATCATCACTTCCACCCTGCTCACCCTTTGTTTATCACACTCACCATCCGGTGACTGCCTGATCAGCCAAGTGCTGTCCCAGCTCAATTCACAGCCATGACTCCCTGGATGCACGTGGTCTCATTAGTTTTCAGCATCCCATGTCTGATCACCACAGTAATCTCACACGTGGAAGAAATTCCAGCGAAACCATCCTCCCTCACCCTTACTCTGAAAATCCGGGCCTGCCCTTTTCTTTAAGAGTTAACTCCCAGGACCTCCCTGGTGGTGGAGTAGTTAAGATTCCTCCGTGCTCCCAGTGCAGTAGGCCCAGGTTTGATCCCTGGTCAGGGAACTAAAAATCCCACAAGCCGTGTGGCGCAGTCAAAAAAACAAAACAGTACTTAACTACTAGTATTAATGTATAGAAGGTCTTGAAAACAACAAGAGAAAATTCTAAAAAAAAGAGAGAATTAACTTCCAACTCACTGTCTTATGAAGTCTTTACCAGTTAATCCCAATTTTTCAAAAACATTTTTTTCACTCCTTAATGCCCTTTGTGCTTTGTTTCCTGCTGTTTGTCATTAGTTGCTCTTTTTGAGATGTGCGAGTTACTATAATTGGATGGTGTGCCCACAGAAACTCTATGCTCACCCCAAATCTTAAGGCATATTAAATAAATCCCAGTTGGTGGAGACCGACTCTCTTCCAAGTATATTCATTAGTGTTGTTCTGTTTGCCATTGTCCAAAGAGCTGGGAGAACTTTCCATCTGTTTCTAGCCTCTCCCATCCCCTACTTTGTAAAACTCTAAGATCTTGCACCAGAATGCACAAGAATTTCCTACATAGGCCTCCAATCAGCATTTGGATTTGACTTTATAGGTGGCCTGTGAGGATGCTCAATGTAGGGAAGGCATTTGCCTCCTTTTCATTTCTTTTTTTGGACAGAAAGGATATTTTTAGCTTTATTGAGGTTTAATTGATGAATAAAACTGTGTGATACCTAACGTGTACAACATGCAGATTTGGTGTGCATATACATTGTGAAAAGATTTCCCCCATCACGATAGTTAACCTATCCATCTCCTCACATATTTACTTCTTTTTTTAGTGAGAACATTTAAGTTCTACTCTTTCAGCAGATTTCAATTATACCATACAGTGTTAGCAACTAGAGTCATCATGGTATACTTAGATCCTCAGACCTTATTTGCCTTATAAAAGTTCATATTCTTTCACCAACCTCATCCTATTTCCCCAACCCCAGCCCCTGGCAACCTGTACTCAAACTTACTCTTTTTTTTTAATTGATTTATTTTTTAATTGAAGGGTAATCGCTTTACAGAAAAACTGACTCTTTAAAATGACTTTCATTTAGTTTTTCCAGGTACACATCATTATCTTGTTCATGAATGTGATTTTCCCTATCAGAGTCCTTGAATGCACTGGAAGACCAAGATTTAGATGCTCTCATGGCAGATCTGGTAGCAGACATAAGTGAAGCTGAGCAGAGGACAATCCAGGCTCAGAAAGAGTCCCCTCAGAAACAGCCTCACTCAGCATCCCTGCATGTGCCAAGTTTCCATGGTACAGCCTCTCCTGGTTACGGAGCAAATGTTGCTGCAACGAGTCAGTTTAATGATGACTTACCACCGCCACCAGCTGATCCAGTGTTAGACCTTCCACTGCCACCACCCCCTCCAGAACCCATCTCTCAAGTAAGTCCGTGGGGTCAGGACTCTTGACCTCTGCCACCCATGATCTCTGACTTTCTTCAGAGTGACAGTTCCATTCATAAATTTGTATGCCCAGAGCTCTAAGATTAAAAAAAAACAAGCATCCCAGATATGTTCATTGCAAAGTCAGGCATAAAATGCCCATGAAAGGACACGTTGGTGAGTACAAGGAACTTATTACAGCCATATTCAGGAATTTGGCTAAAGTCTACATTTGTATGTGGCTTTTCCTGATAATACTCAACCTTTGGGGGTCATATTTGATTAACTTGGTATGAGCTGTGGAAGTGATTCACACATTGCTGTGTCCCTGGTCCTTGCCCAGTACATAAAGAATAGAAGGCATTCCTTACATGTTTCTAAATTGAACTAAATGGAATTTTGCTGAATTTGACAGCCTTGTTCATTGGCAAAGGTATCACTTTTAAGGTCAAAGTTGGAAGGGGTGTTATGGGCAAGCAGGTGATAAGTGTTTGATATTAATAGATTTCTGGGGAGTTCATATTGTCATTATTTGGGATGTCAGTTTATGTCCCTCATCAATGCAAAAAGGGTGCTTTAAGGATTTTGCTAGGGTAAGCCACTTTTTACCAGCTGAGCTACAAGGGAAGGGCTGTTAGGGTAAGCCACTTTTAAAATATTTTAGAGGAATAACATAGCTCTGTTTCCTGTGGCTCTCACATTTATTGTACTGTATGCTCATCAGTACATAAATACAACACTAGTAACCCTGAAAATCCCTACTGTATCTTTTGGATGAATAAATATGAAGTATAAACAAATATCAAATACTACTTATTGCTATGTTGTGTGATTCTTGTATAAAAATTATTTGAAAATTGGTGATCCATTTAGAACAGAGGCTCTTTTTTCCTCCAGTTTATTGAGATATAATTGATGTATAATATTGTAGACGTTTCAAAGGGCCTGGTTGAGCCCAAAAAACTTTTCAGAGAGAATTTTGTACATTTATATTATTTACAGCAAGAGGCAGTAACATAGGACTTCCCCAGTGGCTCTGCAGTAAAGAATCTGCCTGCAAGTCAGGAGCCGCGGGAGACATGGGTTCCATCACTGGGTTGGGAAGATCCCCTGGAGGAGGGCATGGCAGCCCACTCCAGTATTCTTGCCTGGAGAATCCCATGGACAGCGGAGCCTGGTGGGCTACAGTCCATAGGGTCACAAAGAGTTGGACATGACTGAAGAGACTTAGCATGCACATATGCAGTAACATAAGACTTCCCTGTTGGCTCAGTGGTAAAGAATCCAGCTGAATGCAGGAGATGCAGGTTCGATCCCTGGGTTGGGAATATTCCCTGAAGGACATGGCAACCCACTCCAGTGTTCTTGCCTGGGAAATCCCATGGACAGAGGAGCCTGGCGGGCTACAGTCCTCGGGATCACAAAGAGACAGACACGACTTAGCAGCTGAGCGCAAGCACGACTATTCAAGTTTAAGTTGTCCCGCATGATGAGTCTTAACCACTGGACAGCCAGGCAATTACCAGTTACAGCCTTTTATCAACAGCAAGTGACTGAGACACTAGTGGTGGTGGGAATACTTACCCGCTAGTGTGATTAATGGACTGTGTTGATGTCTTACATTTTACAGGAAGAAGAAGAAGCTCAAGCCAAGGCTGATAAAATAAAACTGGCATTGGAAAAACTAAAGGAGGCCAAGGTCAAAAAGGTAAACTATGAATCACTTGCAGGGGGCTATCAAATTAACAGCTTCTTCATACACTTAAGGGTAAAACAGTTTACATTCAAGTGGGACTTTCCAATGAGTTGTATTTTTTTTTACTTAAGGACAAAGATAAATTATTCTTTCCATGACATCAATTGCTCGTTTGTGATTGATAAATAGGGAACCTCTGTTAGTGTCAGTGTGGAAGTTTCCAGGTTTCCACCCCCAGGGCTCACTCCCCTGAGGGTGCCCTCTGGGTTCTGCTCCCTCTTGGGTAACAGCAGGTGGCATCCTCTTCTGGGCCCACCTCAATTTGGTTAGAGTTCAGCTTCCACTGGCATCACCTCATTTTCACAGTTGCTTTTGTGCATGTCATAGACCCCCTGGTGCAGCCCCTAGCCTGCCCTGGGTGTCTGAGTTCCCCCCTGCAGTTCCAAATGTTCTTCTGACTGGTGCTGTGTGTTCAAAGCTGTGTAGGTTTTGAGTGACCTGCCCCAACCCTGTGGTCCCAATAAGCATGTAATTTATTGTGCGTTTTCTGTAGCCTTTTCCAGAGACACATTTATTATATTGTATCAGAAACACACATATTTAACCTCAGTAAAAGCATCTGCCTAATAATAAAGTGTTAATAATAGTTAATTTGGTAAATTAAGGGAAGGATAAACAGTTTCACCTTGACCCCTGAGGCATATGCTATGACTGAGACTCATTAAGAGCTTTTTACTTACAGTTGAGTGAATTATTCTTTTCATAGAGGGCGTTCAATTTTATGTTCCTGCAGCCCCTCTCATGGTTCTTTGAATGAAGGAGTTCAACACATGCTGATTGATGTTTAATAAATATTCCTTCATTTCCCCGGATCCAGACAGTCAAGGTTCATCTGTGAGTTTCCAGATCAGCCTGGTTCCTTTCATTTCAAGCACGCGTGCTTTCCTTCCTATTCTCTGTGTATAATTACATTCTGTGGTCAGTTACTGAGCTGATGCATCTGAGAGGGCCATTTCCTTCCCTGCCTCATACTCTGTGAATCCCTGGTTAAATCCAGCTCTCCGTCTGCTCAGCCCAGGCCCTCAGTGTTGCCGGAGCTCCCCACTCCAGTCTCTGTCTCACGAACCCAGAGAATTGCTTCCACCTTGTCCTCCCCCTGAAAACCCCCAGTACCTCCTCCCTCTTCCTCGTGATGTTGCCGCCTACTGCAGAGAAGTAGAAACGAGCCAAAGAAGGCTCCACAGGCTCCTAGCACACTGGCCTCCTGCCCGCCTGCACCTCCGGCGGCTGGTCCATAGTCTTGTCCCTGTGAATGGACTGTGATGTTTCTAGAACCAGTCTCCTTCATGCGCTTAACTGGAGATGAAGAGGACAGGAACGGGTGAGCGGTATTTCCCACTGGAGACCGGAAGCCAGAGAAGGTTGCCATAATTCAGTTGAGGTGAATTCTAGCAGCAGCAAAAGCACCACCTGCCTCTAATCAACAGTGTATGTGAAACAGAAGCCGCTCTGACCAGGGGGAGAGAAAAGAAAATTAAGAAGCCTAGGTGTACATTTTTTCTGACTTGAGGTACTCGAGACTTATTTCTAAAAATAAAAAGCTGTGTGGCACAGATAACTTAAAAAAATAACTGAATCATACTCATCTGTTAATAAATAAGGTATACTAACACATAATCTACAGCATGTTTTTAAAAGGCTGGAAATCAAGTTGACCTGAAGTACTCTGTCCTCAAATATTCTGCTGGGTGTTGTCATCTTTTTGGATGATGAATGATGTACATGGTTTGTGGTGCAAAGTTTTTAGAACTGGAAAGAGTATCAGGCTCACTCATTGACTGTATTTGTTTCTTTGTGGTAAAGAATTGGCCTACCAATGCAGGAGAAACAAGAGGTGTCAGTTTGATCCCTGGGTGGGAAAGATCCCTGGAGGAGAAGATGGCAGCCCACTCCATTATTCTTGCCTGGAAAATCCCATGGTCTTTACTTTAATGGATTAGAAAGGGGACATCTTTTCATTCTGGAATCATTTTGCCCTGTATCATATGGTATTGATGTGAAATGGGGTCGCAAGGAGTCAGACATGACTGAGCGACTGAACTAAATTGATTGATGTGAAAAGTACTCAGCTTGCTGCATCACGTAACCGTGCTTTAGGGTGTCATGTGGTGGTATAGAGCTACCCTTCAGCTTGGAAACGGGAAGAAAGCTGTGAAGAAGAGTCAATGTGGCTTCTTCTTGCTCAATGTCACCTGCCTTCTCTTTTTTTTTTCCCTAAGTTTCATAATTGTGGACATTCGTAACTACATGTGGGTTAAATTTAGTTTGCAGTTTCTGCCAAAAGAAAAACCAAAACCCAGCCCTTTCCATCATTGCATCATTGTCAAACTATGTGGTTTGCTTTTTTTTTCCTCTCTTTAAAAACAAAAGATAACACCAAGCTATGTTTTATTTTCTCAAGAATTCCTAAGCAAGAGAAAATGTGGTCAGAAGTCATTGATTTTCCCATCGGGAACATTGTCCTCTAAATCCTAACGCTGGCAGGGTTTCTTAGGACCCGTAGCTACTTTATACCAGTGATCCTCAGCGGAGAGCAATGGGTATGCCTTCTATGGCAAATAAGCCATGGTCGTGCCGACATTTGAGGAATTTCTGTTTCTCCATGCACCCCTCCAAGCGTGATTTCTCAGGTCAGATGAATGTTTTTGTGGGGTTTTTTGGCCATGTGGTATGGCATATGGGATCTTACTTCGCCGACCAGGGATTGAACCCGGGTACCCTGTAGTGGAAGGGTGGAGTCTTAAACACTGAACTGCCAGGAAAATCCCCAGATGAATGTCTTTGACGCTGTGGTATTTACTTGAGCCTTTTGTGTTAAATACATCAAAAGATGAACATACAACAAAAACAAAGTGTCCAACTAGAAGTGTCTGGGCTACAGGTTTCAAAGGAAAGAAAGTATTCTTTGGCCAAGCCTGGAATAAAAGCCTAATTGGAATGGACTCAGGAGGAGGAAATGTACTTTACTGCCCCAGTGTTTGCATTTGAGTCTCAAGAGTGCAACTGGGGGAAGGGAAGATACTAGGGAGTGTTTGACACGTGGTCCTTGCCTGCTCCTCACCCAGATTCTTATCACCACCCACACCCTTGGTTGCTCTCCGTCACTCTGCACAACAGTCTGCAGGAACTGTGTGTGCCCTTCACCATCCCCTGCAGTGTCTTCAGGACCCGATGGTGAGAGAGGGTCCAGCGAGGCAGTTTACCCGCTGCTCAGAATATGGCCCAGACTTTAGGGGAGGAAGAAATGTTGCCAGTTGTATGACTTCTCTTTCCATTCCGTCTAAATACTTTTTATTTATTTATTTTTAAAAAGTATTTATTTATTTGGCTGCACCGGATGTTAGTTGCCACACACAGGATCTTCAGTCTTTGTTGTGGCAGGAGGGCATCTTTAGCTGTGGCATAAGAACTCCTGTTGCGGCACATGGGATCTGGTTCCCCAACCAGGGATCAAACCTGTGCCCCCTGCATCAGGAGCATGGAGTCCCAGCCACTGGCCCAGCAGCGAAGTCCTAATACTTTTTAAATAATGACACGCTTCCTATGTGAGTAACCAGGACCAACCTTAGACAAACAATAGGCAGAACTTGTCTCTATCTCACACTTCTCTTTTCAAGCAAGAATAGAGATTTAAGCAAGAGTGTTTGGGGGTTCTGGGTGGCTAGATTGCTTCAGGAATTCTCTGCTGGCGGTGTGTGGAGTAGCTTCAAGCACTGCAGGCTGGAGGTTGGATGGGGATGGTCTGGAACAGGAAAGACAGTCCCGTGTGGCAGAGATAGACTCTGAATTGGGGAGGACCAGTGATTTTGGTGGCCTTCCCTGGTGGCTCAGGCAGTAAAGAATCTGCCTGCGATGCAGGAGACCCAGGTTCAATCCTGGGGTTGGGAAGATTCCCTGGAGAAGGACATGGCAACCCACCCTAGTGTTCTTGTCTGGAGAATTCCATGGACAGAGGAGCCTGGTGGGCAACAGTCCATGGGGTTACAGAGAGTCAGTATCTCCCTCATCAGAATGCAGAGTCTCTGACCACGGGGCAAGCACTTTGCTTATTGTGTATCATTTCTGTTTTTGTGAATTGGTTTCTCTGGCACCTGTCTGTATTCCTGCACCTTAAACAGATGCTTGGCCCATGAAGGAGTCTGTGGGATACCTTCTCACCTAAATATGCAGAAACCTGAACCTTTCTCAGTGGCCTTCTCCAGTTGCTGGAATTTACTGGCTGTCCTGTGGCTTTATCCTCAGCTCGTTGTCAAGATACATATGAATGATAACAGCTCAAAGTCACTGATGGTGGATGAACGGCAGTTAGCCCGAGATGTTCTCGACAACCTTTTTGAGAAGACCCACTGTGACTGTAACGTGGATTGGTGTCTTTATGAAATATATCCAGAACTACAAATTGGTAAGTCCCAGTCATAATGGCAGGCTGTACACCAGAAACCTGTGGTTTGCTTTATTAGATTATGGGTTTTGATCTAACTATGAAGAAGAGTTTTGTTCAAGGCTGTGAAGACCACCCCATCCATCACTTGCCTGTGTCAGATTCAGTGCTTGTCTCGGCTTGATGTGTGGTGAAGACTCAGATGGAAGCAGGTGGCCAGACCCGGGGGAGTGTGTGCATTATTGCAGCTACTTCTCTAGCAGATCCAAAAGGAAAGTGAGTGACAAGATGATGTTTCTTACTGCCTAGCCAGCTGAGCAGATGGGCCTTGGTACTGATCAGCCAGTGTCTCTTTAAAGTTTGCTTCTTTAAACTCTAAGGCAGTCATCCCACACCTTTTTGATACCAGGGGCTGGTTTCATGTGACTCAGTTTTCCCATAGACATGGTCAGGGGTAGTATTGGGATATTTCAAGCATGTTACATTTACTGAGTCCATTGAACAGGAGAAGGTGGATCTCTGGCAGCAATATGAGTGATGGGGAGCAGCTGTAAATACAGATGAAGCTGCTTCACTCACTCGCCCGCCGCTCACCTCCTGCTGCTCAGCTGGCTTCCTAACAGGCCACGGACCAATACCGGTCTGTGGCCCAGGAGTTGCTGACCCCTGCTCTTGGGTAACTCTGCCATAGGCCTCACGTCACTGTCCACTTCTCTTCCTCCACGCCTCACTCACTTAGTATCTGATACTTTGTCTAGTGGAAGAGGCTCAGCTCCAAAGAGCAAAGGACAGTTGAGAGAAGTGGATGAACTAAAAGCAGTTAAAGAAAGATTCTGTTACTTCTCATTCTTAATCCACTCACAAAACAATTGTCTCCCGGGAGAGCTGGGATACAGAATGGTTGGGATACAAGATTGCCTGTTTTAGAAGCTTTAGGTATATGTCTTACTGGAGGAAATGATCTACAAGAAAATAATCCTCCAAGTTTTCTTCAATTCTTAGAGTCAAATAGAGAAAAGATGGAAAGGAAGGTTTAGGGTTGGCTTTTATATTCATATAATAATTTGTGTTTTATATGTATTTTATATGTGTTTGGGGAGCTATGTTTTGTGGGGCCCACAACCTCTAGGATCTAATTCCTGATAATCTGAGGTGGAGCTGACGTAATAATAATAATAGAAATAAAGTGCACAGTAAATGTAATGCCCTTGAATCATCCTGAAGCCATCTCCCATCCCCGGTCGGTGGAAAAATTGTCTTCCATGAAACTGGTCCCTGATGCCAGAAAGGTTGAGGACCTTTGTATAAGTGCTTATTAGTTATCTCACAATTTCATTCAAAATTATTTACCCAATTACTGCCTACTTGTCCTCCTTCCAGGGTGGAGGGCTATTTAAAGTACTAAAAAACCCGAATACAAAAAAAGAGCAATGGCTGACCACTACCACTATATTGTAGGTTCATCTGCCATGTTTTTTTATGGGAAGTAAGTTGAAGATCTGAGACTGAAGAATAGACATAACAGGGATGTTACAGTATGACATCATGTAAGAATTAGGAATTTCTAAAACCAATGAGAAGTGTGAAACATTGTGTTAGCTCAATACCAACTTATTTCTGTGTTGGAAACCCCAATGTCTTGGGTCTGAAAAAATGCTTTCTCTTGTTACATCAGAAAGGTTTTTTGAAGACCATGAAAATGTTGTTGAAATCTTATCAGACTGGACAAGGGACACAGAAAATAAACTGTTATTTTTGGAGAAAGAGGAAAAATATGCTGTATTTAAAAACCCCCAGGTAAGATAATTTATTTATTGTTAAACCATATAAAATGTCCATTCTGTAATGTCAACTTGTGTCCTCACAAGATACCTCACAAAATTTCACATTATTCATTATCTCACAAAATATCACAAATGTATTCCTTTCAAAGAAATACGAACTCAACGCTTAGGGGTCAGGACAGGGGCCCCTCATGCCCACGTGGTCCTGTCTCTTTGGGGTAAAGTGGTTGGGGCAGTAGAACCTTACTGTCCTAATTAAAGCAACTTTGTTGACGAAGCAGCTGAGTCTCTCTCAGTTTCTCAGGCCAGTTGGCGTTGGGAAAGTTCCTCTTCCCAGTTAACTGTGGTCACAGAGTGGTCTGCTCATCCTAAAAAAGTGCCAGGTGTTCAGATGAACACAGGAACCTCAGCTGTGACCCAAAGAGTTTTGTTTTCCGAGCTGTGCTAACGTGTAGCCCCCACTGTGCGAAGACCAGTGGGGCCCAAACCAAAATAAGAAGTGTGAGGCCTGGGGTCTGTGTCTGGAGAGGGTGACCCACCTTGGTATTAACGTTAGCCAACCTTCTTGCCTGGAGCCCCGAAGAATGTCTTTTTTCAGCGAACGTATGGTGAAAACAAATTAAGGTCACCTGCTTGCTGTCTTGCTGTTCATTTCTTTTTATAAACATCTTTTATGTCTCTGACTTCAAAATTAATATCAATTTATTGGAAAAAAAACTGAAAAGTAGAAGAAAGGAAATTTAAGTATTCCCACAGTTCAGTGATCATCACTATTGATACTTCAGGCAATTTTCATTCCACTGTTCTGTTTCTTAACCAAAATTTGGTAGTGGTGGTAGTTTATTTAGTTGCATGAGTAAGAAGCAGAGATGGAACCACAGTGGCATGCTTCCCCTTGGGTGCAGAAGGGCACCAGCCACCATGGGGGAAAATGACCTCGTGGTCTCTGCCCTCCTTTCCAACCTCCCTCTCCTGCCAGGGTTCATCTCTGACCATCCGGGACCAGGCCCAGCTGGAAGGAAAGTCATACAGGCATCCCATTTACAACCTCCAGAAGGGGCTTTTATTTTATTTTTTATTGATTGATTTTACTTATTTGGCTACACTGGCCCTTAGTTGCAGCACTAAGGATCTTAGTTGCAGCAAGATCTTTAGTTGTGGCATGCAGGCTTTTTGTTGCGGCATATGCACTATCCATGACCAGGGATCAAACCCGGGCCTCCTGCTTTGGAAGGGTGGAATCTTAACCTCTTGAGCACCAGGGAAGTCCCTGGGAGGGGCTTCTCCTTTAAAACAAAGTCGTCTCTTGACTTCAGTGCCCAGAGCCCCTGACTGGCCAGCGTGGGCCTGTGTATCAGTTAGGGTTGGAGGCGTGAATACAACCTGAGGATCCCAGTGGCTTCTAGCAGCAGGTATTTCCTCTCTCCTAGGGCCTGCAGGTCATCAGGTCCTCTGTCCCTGGCTCCACAGTGTGAGTCAGAGCAAGAGAGTGCCACGTGCCTCTTACTGTCCTCAGACCAGCAACCACTTGTGAAACTGTCCTCCTGGTGAAGGGCAGGCGTGCCGGAGAAACCGTGGAAAAACACCATGCCACTTCTCAGGCCCTTTGCTCCCATGGACCCACATTCTGTTCTCCCACCCACATTCTGCTGGCCCAAGGAAGTCGTGTGGCCAAACCGAGCATAAAGTGGCAAGGACATGCGCTCCAGCCATCCCGGGGGGCGGGCACCCCAGTCATAGCTGACAGGCATCAGTGGATTCTGACACAGGACGGAAGAGAGGACTTGGGGTGATGGTCTGGGCTGCATCAGCTGGTTGCTCACCAGGGCCCCAGAGATACCCAGTAATTTTTTTAATTGAAATATGTTGATTTATAATGTTTGTGTTAGATTCAAGTGTACAGAAAAGTGATTTGGTCATACACACACACACACACACACACACACACACACACGTATATATTCTTTTTCAGATAATTTTCCATTAGTTTAATACAAGATATTGAGTAGAGTTCCCTGAGCTATGCAGTAGGTCCTTGTTGTTTTTCTTTTGTATATAGTACAGTGTGTATTTAATCCCAGGCTCTGTCCTACCTTCTCTCTCCCCTTGCCCCCACTGTCCCCTTGGTAGCCATAAGTTGGTCTTCTGTGTCCGTGAATCTAATAATATTTCTGTTTTGTAAATAAGTTCATTTGTATTATCATTTTAGATTCCACATATAAGTGATACCATATGATAGTTCTTTCTCGTCTGACTTAATATGATGATCTCTAGGTCCATCCATGTTGCTGCAAATGGCATTATTTCATTGTTTTTATGGCTGAGTGGTATTCCATTGTATTGATGTTCCACACCTTCTTTGTCTGTTCATCTGTCCATGGATGTTTAGTTTGCTTCAAAGAGCCCCAGTGTTTAACCACCTCTGGGCCTTTGTCCACGCTGTTCCTACTGCCCTGCTGCTCACTTTATTTCTTTTCCTCTGTCTGAATATGAACACCTTTCGGGGCACAGTCACAACTTTGACCTGCTTTGTGAAGTCTTCCTTGATCATCTCAGCCCACAGTAATTTCTTCCCTCTCTTCCAACCTACAGAACTTGTCTCATTTTTTATTTGCGCAGTCTTATACGGTTCCCCCATCTATAGATACATAGCCATCTACTTACATTTATCTTCTCAGTGTGATAAAATGATTCTTAAAACAGTGATATTTTACATGTGAAGGGTACTCAGAAATATTTACTCGTGGACTGATAAGTGTTTGCTTGACTTATTCATTATCCCAACAAGGTGATTTTAAAAAATGGATTTGCTGTTTCTTTCCTATCCTGCTGCTCTCAAAGTTTGCATTTTCAGAAGCTGTGAGAAAGAGGGGTGGACTTCAGCTGGAAGTCTCATTTCCCATTTTAAAGTTCCTTTATTTTTCAGCTCAGATTGTCCCTAACAGATAATGGATGAACTGGTAAATTCTGCCACTTCCTACAGAGCCCTCCAAATTCTCACCCAAGAGCAATCAGTCCCTCTAAGGATTGCCCTGCATGATCTCCAGCTGGAATTTCATTAAAGCAAAAGCACAGTATAGTACTACCACCTGGAAGGGGGAAAGGGGTATTCAGAAGCTGAAAAAGTGAGAGGGGTCTCTGAAAAGATAATGGCTTCACAATACCCTCATAAAATGAGACCCTTTATAGTTTAGAAAGGCTCTTGCCCTGTCTGTCCTGCAGAGGGCGACACATGCCCTCCTTTTCTCAAATGATGACGATCCGCACATGCTCTGCAATCTTCATGTTCCTCTCCCCTCTTTCAACACATACACTATCACATTTTCCCAGGGCCCTAAAGCAAGTGTGCTTGCTAGCAGCACACTGTGTATTCATTGTCAGGACTAAGTTACCCCATTTTTTTAAATTTTGGTAAAATAAACATAACATAGAATTTAGCATTTTATTCACTTTTTAGTGTGCAGTTCAGTGATATTAAGTCCATACACACAATCACACTGGGTTCTTTCCTATGGTGTTTAGAGCAGTTTGATACTGAGAGATTATGAAAAATTCAAAGATCTGACCCTAATTGTTCTTGGGCAGTCACTTAATCTGTTTCCTTATCTGTGAAATAGCAATCACACCTACATTGTGGGGATGCTGTGAGGGTGAAATGAAAAGTGTACCTGTAAGGCCTTAGTATAGAGTTCAGGCAGGTGGTATATGTTCCATATTGTATTATTCACAGTCTGCAAGCAAAATACATAAAATTAGAATAATTTCCAAACGATATAGAATAACCACACTAATTCACAATATGCTGTCCTTTCAAATAATACATAAAAGTTTGTCTTTAAAAATGCGTTAAAAGATAATTCAAGGATATCAACCTTGAATATTCACTGGAAGGACTGAAGCTGAAGCTGAAGCTCCAGTACTCTGGCCACCTGATGAGAAGAGCTGACTCATTGGAAAAGATCCTGATGCTGGGAAAGACTGAGGGCAGGAGGAGAAGGGGACGACAGAGGATGAGATGGTTGGATGGCATCACCTACTTGATGGACACGAGTTTGAGCAAACTTGGGGAGATAGTGAAGGACAGGGAAGCCTGGTGTGCTGCAATTCATGGGGTCACAAAGAGTTGGACATGACTGTGTGACTGAACAACAACAGAAAAATAATTCAGTAAGATTTATGGAAGGAGTTGTACCTGACTTATTTCCTCTATTTAAGTTAACAATTTGTCATCATGGCGCATTCTATTTCTAGGAGATCTCCTAATTTTACAAAGTTTGCTTTGCAGTTTGCTTCCTCTTTATTCTCAAACTTCAGTGCAAGTAGGAATCATCTAGGAAGTGTGCTGGAATGCATATTCTCAGGTCCCCTGAGATTCCACTTCAGTAGGTTGGGGGCCCTGGAAACATGCATTTAACAGAGCTTTAGGGTGTTCTGGAGGTCACACTTGGGGAAACACTCCCATCATGTAAATAAACATTTGTGTCTAGACTCAGGAGGCTCCTTAATTTAGTCACTACCCTCCAGGGTTATATATTGTAGTTTTAATACATTTTTTTTCAGGCATTGTTTTATAAACTTTGTTTCCACCTGTAAGTCATTAAATGCTTAACTATGGTGGTGGTTCTGCCTGACATAGTCCACAAGCAGATGTTCCAAAAGGATAATCATGGGAAAGGCAAGGACCCTGCCTCCTCCCTGAGTCAGGAGCTGCTAGAATTAGAGTAGGTTTAGTCTCTCTGCCCTTGAACTGACTGCACTGACCTTCAGTTTCAGGGGTAGTGGGTGTGGTGGTAAGAGCACACACATCAGACGCACTTAGCTCTGGTGTTCATTCACACTGCAGTGCCCTAGCTGTTTAACCTGGCTGAGCTTCAGTCTGCTAACCTGTAAAGTGGAGGGGACTGTCACTTACCTCGCAGCTTTGTCATTAGGATTGGAGGTGATATTTGCAAAGCACCTGGCTGAGGATCTGCCGTGTAGTATGTCTCCCTCCAAATCGTGAGTGCTTCTAAATGGTGGTCTTCCTTGCCTTTGCCGAGCTGGTTCTCTTTCCAGAAATGTCCTTTCTGCTTCTCTCTGTCCCTGGAAGTTGCCAAGTAGCAAACTCTGTGTTGTGACTGACTCATGCAGTTTTAGAAAATTAAAATTGGTTGCCCACACTGATAAAAGTCCAGATTTCACGCTTCTCTGGAGAAGCCAGAATCTCTAGTCCTCAGGGACCCTACATGGTCACCAAAGGCCTGGGATCTGGGATGTTCCACTGTCCTCCAGTTCTGGGCTTTTCCAAGGGCCCTGGGGTCTCCAGGCTTCCAGCAGTTGACGCGGAATTCTAGACCGTGGTTAAATTGAATGACAGTTGTATCCTTTGCTGGTGTTTTTCTCCCTCTTGTTCCTGTTTCCTCATTGATTATAACTGTGCGGGGAAGGGCAGGTGTCACTTCTGGCCGGCGGGGCAGAGCTCAGCGCTGGGTAAGCCCCTCGGTAAGCACTTGGTTGACAGAGACTATACGCTGTGGTCCTTGGTTTACCTCCTCCAGGTATGTGTCCCTCTCCGGCAAGACCGCGGGTTCTGTGCAGGGCCTACCATGGTGATGAACCCTTACTGATCCTATCTTTTACTGTTTTATTTAGAATTTTTACCTGGATAACAAAGGAAAAAAGAAAACAAAGAAACAAATGAGAAAATGAATGCTGGTGTGCTGCAATTCATGGGGTCACAAAGAGTTGGACATGACTGTGTGACTGAACAACAACAGAAAAATAATTCAGTAAGATTTATGGAAGGAGTTGTACCTGACTTATTTCCTCTATTTAAGTTAACAATTTGTCATCATGGCGCATTCTATTTCTAGGAGATCTCCTAATTTTACAAAGTTTGCTTTGCAGTTTGCTTCCTCTTTATTCTCAAACTTCAGTGCAAGTAGGAATCATCTAGGAAGTGTGCTGGAATGCATATTCTCAGGTCCCCTGAGATTCCACTTCAGTAGGTTGGGGGCCCTGGAAACATGCATTTAACAGAGCTTTAGGGTGTTCTGGGGGTCACACTTGGGGAAACACTCCCATCATGTAAATAAACATTTGTGTCTAGACTCAGGAGGCTCCTTAATTTAGTCACTACCCTCCAGGGTTATATATTGTAGTTTTAATACATTTTTTTTCAGGCATTGTTTTATAAACTTTGTTTCCACCTGTAAGTCATTAAATGCTTCAACTATGGTGGTGGTTCTGCCTGACATAGTCCACAAGCAGATGTTCCAAAAGGATAATCATGGGAAAGGCAAGGACCCTGCCTCCTCCCTGAGTCAGGAGCTGCTAGAATTAGAGTAGGTTTAGTCTCTCTGCCCTTGAACTGACTGCACTGACCTTCAGTTTCAGGGGTAGTGGGTGTGGTGGTAAGAGCACACACATCAGACGCACTTAGCTCTGGTGTTCATTCACACTGCAGTGTCCTAGCTGTTTAACCTGGCTGAGCTTCAGTCTGCTAACCTGTAAAGTGGAGGGGACTGTCACTTACCTCGCAGCTTTGTCATTAGGATTGGAGGTGATATTTGCAAAGCACCTGGCTGAGGATCTGCCGTGTAGTATGTCTCCCTCCAAATCGTGAGTGCTTCTAAATGGTGGTCTTCCTTGCCTTTGCCGAGCTGGTTCTCTTTCCAGAAATGTCCTTTCTGCTTCTGTCTGTCCCTGGAAGTTGCCAAGTAGCAAACTCTGTGTTGTGACTGACTCATGCAGTTTTAGAAAATTAAAATTGGTTGCCCACACTGATAAAAGTCCAGATTTCACGCTTCTCTGGAGAAGCCAGAATCTCTAGTCCTCAGGGACCCTACATGGTCACCAAAGGCCTGGGATCTGGGATGTTCCACTGTCCTCCAGTTCTGGGCTTTTCCAAGGGCCCTGGGGTCTCCAGGCTTCCAGCAGTTGACGCGGAATTCTAGACCGTGGTTAAATTGAATGACAGTTGTATCCTTTGCTGGTGTTTTTCTCCCTCTTGTTCCTGTTTCCTCGTTGATTATAACTGTGCGGGGAAGGGCAGGTGTCACTTCTGGCCGGCGGGGCAGAGCTCAGCGCTGGGTAAGCCCCTCGGTAAGCACTTGGTTGACAGAGACTATACGCTGTGGTCCTTGGTTTACCTCCTCCAGGTATGTGTCCCTCTCCGGCAAGACCGCGGGTTCTGTGCAGGGCCTACCATGGTGATGAACCCTTACTGATCCTATCTTTTACTGTTTTATTTAGAATTTTTACCTGGATAACAAAGGAAAAAAAGAAAACAAAGAAACAAATGAGAAAATGAATGCAAAGAACAAGGAATCCTTACTTGAGGTAAGATTAATTTTGCAGAGCAGTAGAGAAGAGAGGAATATTAGCTGTATCTTTTTAAACTATTTGCTCCTCAGAATAACGGGCAATTCAGAAACACTGAAATTTTAGCTTGGGGTTTTAAAATCAGATCATTACTAAATTATAGCTATTTAGATCATTAAACTGGTTCTTGGAGTTGGTTGTTCAAAAGTATTGTTTTGGACAATATAGTTTACTCTTCATGAAGTTGGATTGGTAATTCGTGACCGAAAGACAACAATCCATATGAAACTCCTCTCTAACATTCCATAGATTTCATTGCTTACATGCTCTTAACAGAAGTCAGGCGTGACTTCTTTGCAGTGAATTCTCCGATGCCCCTCCGGCAGGCAGGTGTGGTAGAAAGTGTGAGATGGCAGTTGGGAATCTGAACCAAGTTTGATTCTGCCTGCTGAGGTTCATGTGTTATTGGGTAAGTCCAAACCTTGGTTTCCTGTAACGTGTTGCATTATCACAAAGATTTAGGAGAAGAGTGGAAGCACCACGTGTAAAGTGTGGTACACATGTCTGAGTATCACTCGAGGCTATGTTGCTGAGGTTCGTTTGATGGTTGATTGTTTTGAAACTTCTGAATGACTTTTCACATTGCAACTTTGCTAAAAATTGAGGCTTTGGTCCCCGCCTATAATGCAGATGCCTGCCAGGTCACAGGTCACAAATGGGCATGGGAGCCCCAGATTTTTGTTGCCCCAACAACATGATGACCTTTTGAATTAGGAGATTTGCAGCTTCTCTTGAAAAGTCAGAAGACCTGGTGACACCTGGGCCCACATTCCACCTGGAGCCAGTTCACTGATGCTCATCATGAGGAAAAAAATGTATAACTATGTGGGGTGATAGATGTTAACTACACTTATGATGGTGATCATTTTGCAATATATACATGCATCAAATTATTAGGTCATATACCTAAATCTAATGCAATATTCTATGTCAGCTGTATCTCAATTTAAAAGTATACCAAAAATAAAATACTAATTTATACATATTTTATGTCCAGAATTAATGATAAAATTTTTCTATTTACTAGCAGTGAAATCATAACTTTTCCACTTACAGGTAAAGGGATAAATTATATATTTATCAACCTACAGTAACAGAAATAGATTTTATGTAATACTTCTACAATATGTACCAAGATTGCACTTACTACCTTCCTTATGAAGTTGGGGCTATCAGCATTCTTATTTTGCAAGTAAAGGCACTGAGGTTGAGTCACTTGCTCAGAATCACAGAGCTAAGTGATCAAGAAGCCTGGAAGTCGAACTCTCGAGCTGAAATTCAATCACCGTGTTCTTCCTGTCTTTTGGCAAATAGTATGCAGTGTCAATATATGCATTCAATTAGAGCTGTAGACAAAATGATTTTTAGCTTGCAGGCTAGCTTGCCACAGTTTATTTCAATGTGAACAAAATGTATGTTTTATCTCTGATGGGTTTTATATCATTGAAATCTCAATTTCAGGAGAGTTTCTGTGGAACATCCATCATTGTGCCAGAACTCGAGGGAGCTCTTTATTTGAAAGAAGATGGGAAGAAATCCTGGAAAAGGCGCTATTTTCTTTTACGAGCTTCTGGAATTTATTATGTCCCCAAAGGAAAGACTAAGGTCAGAAAGAAAAAAATATGCTTATAAAAAAAGCATTTCATGAAAGGGCAAGTCACTCAGTCATGTCCAACTCTTTGCAACCCCGTGGACTTACACAATCCATGGAATTCTCCAGGCCAGAATACTGCAGTGGGTAGCCTTTCCCAATACTGGAATGGGTAGCCTTTCGCTTCTCCAGGGGATCTTCCCAACCCAGGGATCAAACCCAGGTCTCCTGCATTGCAGGTGGATTCTCTTCCAGCTGAGCCACAAGGGAAGCCCAAGAATACTGGAGTGGGTAGCCTATCCCTTCTCCAGCGGCTCTTCCCGACCCAGGAATTGAACTGGGGTCTCCTGCACTGAAGGTGCATACTTTACCAGCTGAGCTACCAGGGAAAACTAAAGAAATCCTCAGGTGGAAATGTCAGTACTCTACCTTTTGCTGTAAGATTCATGTGATGACAGGGTTTATTCAAATAAATATACTTTTAGGACAGAATTACAGAAATCCTTCTGAATCTTTCAGTTGCTTTCTTTTAAAGGTGAAGAAATCTATCTACTTTAAAAGCCAGGTCTCAGAAATTATGGCGAAAGCATTTCTCTAAAGATTAATTCACTTTTTTACATATTGATTTCAGAGGACTTTTTTCCCTTCCTTTTTACTCTACTATTCTGTAGGCATAAAAGTATGACATCTTTTATCTGGAGTCATACATCTGGGTATAGCCAAATTGGGGGACAGTTTAGCAAGATCTAGGCAAATGTAAAAGGGAATACCCCTTCAAAGGCCAGCTCCATGTTTAGCAACCTACCCCACAGAGTATTTTTTGTAATAGCAAGATATTAAAATAACCTCTAGTCATCTATAGTAGGATGGTTGAAGAAATAATTATATCTGTACAGTGTAATGTTATGCAGCTATACAGTGTGATATAGCCTTTCATACATCCTGACATAGAAAGACCCCAAGATATAATGTTAAGAAAAAGAACAAATTCATGACAAAATATTAAGAGTAAAATCTCATTTATATTTTCAAAATTTTACATGTGAATATGTCTACACATACATAGGCATATAAATATATCTCCAAAAACATTTGGAAGAATCTCTTCTCTGGAGAAGAGAAATGAAAGGAGAAAAGAAGAGTGAAGGAAGATTTTCATTTTTCTTTTAAATATATATTTATATTTAGAAGTCTTCACAAGGTATATTATACATAAGGAGAGGATTCTGTTTCCATAGCAACACTGCCAGCCCTGAAGAGATGGCATGAAAGGAATCTCAAGAAGATGTGCATGAGGTGTGTGCTGATTTTCTGAGTATCAAATAGCACTCATTGTTCATCCACGAGGGATTTTTCTCCTAAATGCTCAGTCATGAAATCCGTCAGTGACTTAGAATGGCAAAAACCAAAATAAAACATCTGACAAGGTGCTCAGTCACCTTGTCTGGACCACCTCAATATAGTAATGATGTCTCAAGGTGAGCCAGTCATCTCTAGGGGTCCATGTGCAGGAGCTAGGACAGCACTGTGATCTTTTGCTCCACCTGTGGCATGCTATTTTGCCTTAGATGTGCCCTTTCACTTCTTAAAATGTAGGCCTGGCTTTTAGAAGACTACATGGTAAATGGTTAAGTAACACCTGAAATTCTGTATTTTCCTACTAAAATGTAACCCTTCATTGTGCTGTGAACAACCTTGGGAAAATATTACCTGTCAGCTAGGTTGAGGTTATTTTTTCCTTCTCTTTCAGACATCTCGAGATCTGGCCTGTTTTATACAGTTTGAAAATGTCAACATTTACTATGGGATTCAGTGTAAAATGAAATACAAAGCACCCACTGACTACTGCTTTGTATTAAAGGTAGGTTTTAAGTCCTTACCTTAGATCTGTAAGCAGTTTGAATTAGTTATTTCCTTTTAAGAAAAGAAATGTTCAGGGAGGGGGGTTCAGGATGGGAAACACATGTAAATCCATGGCTGATTCATGTCAATGTATGGCAAAAACCACTACAATACTGTAAAGTAATTAGCCTCCAACTAATAAAAATAAATGAAAAAAAAAAAGAAAGAAAATAAAAAACAAAGAAATAAAAATAAAGAAAAGAAATGTTCAGTGTTAAATAGTTAACTACAAGTATAACATAATAAGCTTTTTATTGTAAAGCAAAATAGGAGAGGAGAAAACATTTCCAACCAATTCAGATCATTTCCCCCAAAGTCTGTTACTGAGTCTAAAACTTTCAAGTTAGCCTGTCTGGATTTATTCATCACTTTATGAGAATAAAAGCTCTACATTTTGGACAGATTTTATTGACAAAATGATTGATTGTTCAGTTCTTTATCAGGTCCTTCCTTATTCCATTGTAAGATATTTTGAGAAATTAGGAAGTTGATAAGACTTCCTAGAAAAATATAGAATATAGAAAAAAATCTTTTTCAAAAATAGTATTAGTGGGTCTTGAAACTTTTTAAAGTGCACATTATCAAAAGAGAGGATATATTATCAGGTGTCTGGTAAGGTTGACCTTAGCACCAGATTTTGGAAGGTTGGGCAGAAGTATCTTTTCTCTGCCAAATGTAACAGCTGATTCCTAGAAATGGACTCAAGGGATTTATGGAGCTCTTCTGGCCATGACATTGCCTCCAGCACCACAAATTCCCCTTCACAAGTTCACACCAGAAAAACCGAGGTTATCTCATTCCATTCAGCTCGGGTGCAAGGCTGTGTGCAGAATTTCCTGCAAATATACTTTATTATTTTTTATTCAATTATAAACATTGCTGTGCAATGTTATATAAATTACAGGTGTACTATATAGTGATTCACCATTTTTAAAGTTTATACACCATTTATAGTAATAAAATACTGGCATAGAAAGGGCCATGAGAACAATGGCAGACACATTATATATTGCATCTGCAATGCAGTGAGTTAAGCACTTTTCATATGTTAGTTAATAGATTGATTCACTTTTCATATGTTAGTTAATAGATTGATTCATTTAATCCTTCATCAGCCTTCTATGGTAAGAGCCACAGTTCTCCCTCGTGTGATTTCTTTCTTTGCTTTTGGCTGTGCTGGGTCTTCGTTGCTGCACACGGGCTCTCTCTAGTTGCAGAGAGTGAAGGCTGCTCTCTCGTTGAGGCACGTGGGCCTCTCATTGTGGTGACTTCTCTTGCTGCGGCTCCCAGGTTTTAGAGCACGGGCTGCATAGTTCTGGTGCACAGGCTTAGTTGCTCCGTGGCATGTGGGATCTTCCCGGACCAGGGATCGAACCTGTGTCTCCTGCAACAGCAGGTGGACTCTTCACCACTGAGCCACCGGGCAAGCCTCTGTAGTTTGTAGATGTGGAATCTGGGCACAGAGACCCTCAGCCAGGAAGTAGCTGAACCATGATGAGAAGCCAAGGGGGGTGGGGGGCGGGGAGGCTGTCCTCTCAGACGCTGTTTGCCGGCACACAAAATCTCTTCTCTGCCTCCCCTGACCCCAGCCCCAGCCACTCTTGAACTGTGTCTTCATCGTGTTGCTCTCTGCCCTCGTGGCCCTCGTTTGCAATCCTGAGACTCAGAACTTACGAACACAGAGGCCCTCCTTTGCACACAGGCATCCTGATGCCTGCACGGCATAAAAATGTCTTCTGGCTCTAAGCGTCAACAGTTGGGGCTTCTCTGCTGGTGATGAAATGTGCTTCAGAGCAGACAAATATAATAAAAGTTGTCAGAAGTAGGTAAGGGCCCATAAACCCATGGCCAGTGACTGGAGCAGAGATGTTCAGCAAGTGAAAGCAGAGACCTTAGATCTAGAGGTCTCCAGGTTCCTACTGCTGACTCACAAGCTTGAGACTAGGTCCCAGGATCATGGGTTGAACTATCTGGCCTGGAACGCAGGTCACCCTGGGCTGCACCAAGAATGGCAATGCTGAGACCCAGGGGAGGACCTCCCACAGACAGGGACCAGGGCTCTGAGGTGGAGAAAAATGCAGGCCTGATGATCGGAGAACAAACAGGAATCAGAACAAACAAACAACCCAACAGGAACATGCATTTCCCTTTTCTCAAAATGATGACCGATTCTGTTCTCAAGCCAGGTTCCTTATGGGCAGTCACCCTGCTTGTTTTGCACTTAGGCATACTTCTCGGTTCCTTCCCCCAATGCTAGGAATTTTTATTCATTTGCTGAGTAAAAGGGTCAGTCATCCTTTGGAGAACTTAATTTTTTTACAAACATTTTGGTCACTTATTTCCCTTTGTGTCCATGCTGGAGTGTGGAAAAAAACTCTTGATATGCAAATATTTCATGAGGGTGAGCAGATTGATAGAATTCAAAGAGAATGCACATACACTGCAGAAAGGGTTCGGGATTAGAGTAGCATGTTAAGAGATCATGTGAGTCCACAGATATGCACAGGCTGAGAAGTTCAACCCGGGAGCTTCTTACTCAGGATGAACCCATGGATTATGACCGTCCATGGAGGGTGCTGCCAGGAAGACGGGAGTTTGAGTCCTGGCTCTGTCTCATGGCACAGTGTCAAGACTCGCTAAGCTTCACTGCCCTCTGCTATGAAGTGGAAATAACCCTTCCCGTGCAGATTAAACATCTATGCCTGTAAGACCATTAGTGCAATGTTGACAGACATAACCAGTGAGCAAGAATTGGAGTCATTCTCACTGCACTCTAGTCCCAGTTAAACATGTCTGTTGACCAGCATTTCTCAAACTTGAGAGTGCATGGGACTCACCAGGAGAGCTGTTAAGACAGGTAGTTGGGCCCCCAGAGCTTCTGATGCTGTGGGTCTGGGAACTGGCCCAGGAATTTGCACGTCCACCAAGCTTCCAGGTTCTTACCTGCCTCTTCCTTCCACAGCTGTCACCTCTTCCAAAGAACGTTTCTCTGTTTTCCAACTTTTGCTGCAGAGTTTACCATGCCATCGAGTGATCATATATTTGTTTACATACGTCTCCCTCAGCAACACCCCAGCCACCACTTCTTAAGGATGGTGTGAGCCACTCTCCTCATCTCTAGTTAACCACTCAGAGGTATCTACTGAATGCACGAGCCCTCGCTTCTCATCAGGGTTCTGCCACTCAGTGTGACCTTGGATAAATAGCTTCACCTCTCTGGTCTCCCACTGTTTCAAGGATCTCTAAGACCCCTTTGGACAAGGGTCTGCAGTTGCCCTGACCTTTGTGTGCTGCGTGGCATGTCTCTGGGAGCTTCTCCCTTTCTGGTCAGGAGCAACCAAACCAATGGCAGAAGAAGCTGGCCAGTGGCATGGAGCTAGCATTTTTCCTTAAACTTCTTTGCAAACATTTTTCCAGCTAAAAGCTCAAGGGAGTAAATGCCTTGGCAAGGTCCCAAGACGTGACAGAAGAGTAAGTGCGGGGCCTTGCTGAGTGACGTCCCGGGAGCCTGTAGGGTTCCTGCCTCGATGGGCGAGCCAGAAAGGAACCTTGTGCCCACCAGGCAGCTCATCTTAGAATCATAAAATCCGAGGCTCACGAGTGATCTTTGAGGTCATCTTCAAGATCATCCAATGTTTAATTCTCCTGTGTCCAGTCCTGGTACACTTGTGATATGAGGAAGCTGGTGAGATGCACCCCACTAATGTTGGGGAGAATGAGCCAAAGTCTGCACATCAACCTCTTCATCACAGGAGGAGCTGTGGTTAGAACTCATGGTCAAGTGTTCTTGCCTGTGCTTTGTGCTCAGCAGCCACTGTGTTTAAAGGAAGAACCACATTTTACTCTGGATGAACATACTTAAGAAATTGTTGATTGGGCTATTTAAATGGATCCCTCTACCCAGACAGTTGCTTCCTGCCTCTCACTCCAAGCACAATGTGATTTACAGTCTGCTCCTGGGAACCTGGCTTTCCCATCACATGTCATGTACAAAAAAAAACAAAAAAAGAAATTTTAATATACCAAGCCCAAGGTAACAAAAATCAAAATTTTTAATTCCTCCAGGAGAAAAAAAGAAAGCTGTTTTCTAAGAACAATTATAAACCCAGATTGCTGGGGTCACCCATGTTTTGCCCGTCTTACACAAGGGCCAGACCAGAAAGTTCTGTTCTGGTTCAGTTGGAAAGTTTGGTTGGAAGTTAGGAAGCTGTGTTTCTGGTGCTGAAAGATAGGGATGTTCTGTATGACCTTGGACCCATAACACTCCGTCCCCTTCGCACCTGCCCATCACTGTTCTCTTTGACCAGGAGCTCCTGGAAGGCCCGGGTGACCCCCTAGTGCAGCACCCAGCTCACCGCCACTTAAAATTAGACAGAAATACTCCTTTGGGCTATGCATGTGGGTAAGAGATGACAGAAGACAGGGCAAAACCCTGAATTCCTCATAGCAGAAATAACCCTAGGCCTGCATGAGAGTCACAAAAGCATTAATTCCTTGACATGAGAATTTCATCAGGTAAGTTCCCTTATCAGATAAATGGAGAAGTGATTTGGATTTCTTGTAGGGCTAGAAACAGATGTGGTTTCCAGATGTTCAAAAAGCAGGAATGGAGATGACTATTGATAATATAGTAAGAAGTGCTTGTGATAAATCATGTCAATTCTTTCCAAATTTAGCCTGTATAAAAAAGTACCCTTATTCCTAATTCTAAAATTGCTATCAGTGATTTTCGCCACCATCTCAGGAAATTTCAGACGGTGTGAGAATTTTCTAAACATTTTTTTGAAAGGTGTTAATTTGTGAAGTGTTTACAAATAGTCTTTGGAATGACTTTTTTCCAGCATCCCCAGATTCAGAAGGAGTCCCAGTATATCAAGTATCTGTGCTGTGATGATGCCAGAGCGCTAAGCCAGTGGGTCACGGGAATCAGGATCGCCAAGGTGAGGGAATGGGTGGACTCACCCCACCTTGAATTTGCCAGCTAGCATCCTGACATGGGTCCAATCTTCGTGCTACTTGGAAACAGCTGATTCATTCTTTTCTTTTTTTAAATTTATTTATTTGGCTGCAGAAGATCTTAGTTGTGGCCTGTGGGATCTAGTTCCCTGACCAGGGATCAAACCCAGGCCCCCTGAATTGGGAGCTCAGAGTCTAGACCACGAGGAAAGTCCCAACACCTGATCCATTCTCACTAAGTCAATGCCATTAATGGATCAGTGCCGCAACTATCACCTTGTTTATTTGCCCATTGGTTTTTTATTGAGTTAAGTGGGAGTGGTTGACACATGGACCTCTCCCATGACCTGAGAAGCAGGGACTTATTTTCATATGAGCCATTGCAGATAATGATTTCTGGAGAGCTTTGCAAGTGTTATGCGTAATTAAGAAACATGAGATACAAGCTATGGCAGAATTACATAGAGACGTATGTCATCACATTGCATAGCTAAAGCTCCCTTCTCATGGGGAGGTACAAATATTACCTAATTTTGCTAGTCTGGAATATTATTTCACATATGAAAACATGGTTTGTGGATTTTTTTTTAATGGAAATACTTCTACTAAAAGTATGTCAGAAAAGGAGTAAAAAGAATAGTCATGAGGTCCTCTTTTCCCTGAATTTGTAGATTGCAATGGAGTGCAGAATTTGGGATAAATGGATTGCTCTCTTGCTTCTTTTGTGTTCTCTCTCTAGTATGGGAAGATGCTCTATGATAACTATCAGCGGGCCATGGCCAGGGCAGGGCTTGCCTCTCGGTGGACAAACCTGGGCACAGTCAACGCAGTGCCACCAGCCCCGCCTTCCACAGGTACCACGCAGGGGGGAGATTCTGACACCTGTTCCAAGCTCAGAGCTTGTTCTCAAACTTACCTAATGTATTTCATAGAAACAGGACTCTGTAGACGCTGTACTGAATACTCTTCCCTCCTGATGGTCAAATGTAAGATCCTCCAATACCTACCCCCCACGTACTTGTATCTCTTTATAAGTGACTTTTAGCAAAGCTCTTAGCAAAGAGCTTTTAGCAAAGCTTTTAGCAAAGCTTTTATTCATGATATGCTTATGGAGAAGATGGTGGTCACCAGCTTAGGGTGAGCTTGTAGGAAGCTGTGTCTCCTCAGAGTATAAGTGTGATGATTATTCAAGGCTCCATTAATGCCCAGCAGACTGTCCACACCAAGGGTGAGAGCATTCCTTGGTGTTTTGCCTCAGTAACATCACACCTAAGTCCTTGTACCCAATTCTGGATGTCACATCTGAATGTAACAGCTACTAGTTTGTATTTTAAGACACTGAGAGATGAAGTGGGTACTATGTTACTGCTGTTTATATATATACAAATTTACATATATATATACACACAAATATATCTATATATATACATATATATATATGTGTATACACACATATATATATATATATAATTTTTGGTCCTTATAGCAAGGTATACATTATTATCATTCACTCCACAGCTGAGAAAACTGAAGCTGTGAGAAGCTAGTATCTAGCTTGGAAAATATGCAGTTCTATGCCAGGATCCCAGGACAAAGACCAGACCTGGATATATTATTATGCCATTTTCTTCCACTTTCTCTCCTGCTCTCCTGTGTCCTTCTCATCAACACTGCTCCCTTCTTCAAAGAAACAAATTTAAAACCCCCTTAAGGCTCCAAATCCCCCTCCTACTGCTCCATCTGACAAGCAGACTATTCTAAAGGGTGGACGGTATTTGCTGTCTCTGTTATTCTACTTCCTGTTCATTCCCCAGGGCTTCCCAGGTGGCTCAGTGGTAAAGAATCTGCCTGCCAATGCAGGAGACCTGGGTTCAATCACTGGGCTGGGAAGATCCTGTGGAGAAGGAAGTGGCAACCCACTCGAGTATTCTTGGCAAGGAAATCTTCTGGACAGAGGAGGCTGGCAGGCTACAGTCCATGGGGTTGCAAAAGAGTCAGACATGACTTAGTGTGTAAACAGCAATGACTGTTCACTCTTCATAACCATTTCAGTCAGGTTCCTGCCTCTAGTACGTCATGGAAAATGCTCTTGCAAAATCAAACTACTACAGACTCCTCTTTTTTTTTTTTTAATTTAAACTTTCCAGCTATACCCCACAGCATGGGGATCTCAGTTCCCCGACCAGGGATCAAATCCCAGTCCCCTGCATTGGCAGTGCAGTCTTAACCACTGGACTACCAAGGATGTCCCATAAACACTTCTTTCTAGTTGACCTTTCAACAACCCCAACACAACTGACCACTCTTCCTGGAGCCAACCCCTTTTCTGGGGTATCACACATTCCACCTACACCCAACCTTAACTTCTTTTTTTTTTCCCCAACCTTAACTTCTCTAGCCACTCTTTTTCAACCTGCTCTAATAATTCTTCTTCTACCCCAACTTAAATTACCCAAGGCTGAGTCAATCCTAACCCTACTCTCATACTATCTCCCTAAGTGATCTGATCCACCCCCAGCACTGTCTACACGCTCACCACCTATAACTGCATAAATCCAATCAAGGCTTCTCTGTTGACCTTCAAACACATGTATCCAACTGTCTGCTCAGTGGCTTCATCTGAATGCACCCCAGACCTCAAACTCAACATCTGTGAAACTGAGCCCATCCTCTTCCTCTCCTGACTTACTCCCCCATGATTGTTCTGTTTCCACAAATAACATCACCATCTACCCAATGATTCCTGCAGGAAACACGCAAGAAAAGCTCATTGTTGTCAAGTTGTGTCTGACTCTTTGCAACCCCATGGACTACAGCATGCCAAGCTTGCCTGTTCTTCACTGTTTGCCGCAGTTTGCTCAAATTTATGTCCATTGAATCGATGATGCTATATAATCATCTCGTCCTCTGTCATCCCCTTCTCCTTCCTTCCTTCAATCTTTCCCAGCCTCAGGGTCTTTTCCAGTGAGTCTGCTCTTCACATCAGGTGGCTAAAGTATTGGAGCTTCAACTTCAGCATCAGTCCTTCCGATGAATATTCAGGGTTAAGTTCCTAAAGGAGTGATTGATCTCCTTGCAGTCCAAAGGACACTCAAGAGTCTTCTCCAGTACCACAATTTGAAAGCATCAGTTCTTTGGCACTCAGCTTTCTTTATAGTCCCAACTCTCACATCCATACATGACTACTGGAAAATCCATAGCTGTGACCAGATGGACCTTTGTTGGCAAAGTAATGTCTCTGCTTTTTAATTTGCTGTCTAGGTTGGTCATAGCTTTTCCTCCAAGGAGCAAGCATTTGTTAATTTCATGGCTGCAGTCACTATCTGCAGTGATTTTGGAGCCCAAGAAAATAAATCTGTCACTGTTTCTATTATTTTCCCATCTATTTGCCATGAAGTGATGGGACCGGGTGCCACGATCTTAGCTTTTTGAACATTTAGTTTAAAGCCAGCTTGGTAAATGGTAGTTTTTCCAGAAGGAAGCAGAATACTTGGCAGATAATAGGCTAGAATTTGAAGATGATTGGGATGATAATAAATTAATACCTTGTAGGGTTTCTCTGAAAGTGAAGTAATATAAACACTCTTAATCTAAATGTTCAATACATGCTCAATCCATTTTCCTAAATGAAATGCTTAAATCCAATTTTTGAAGAATGCTATCACAGCAGTTAGATGAGATGTCCATTGATCAAAAAAGATGATCTTTCCCGTAATGGAAAATCCGTTAGTAAATGGTAAATTAACCCATGTTGGTTCTGCTGTAGAGTTTTATCAAAAATAAGCCCTACAGAGAACAAATGTGCTGAGATGTTAAACCATACTGGTAGTGTTCTGCTTATTATTTTTCTGGAGCCTCTTGAGAGTAAGTAGATTGACTATCATGTCCCTTTGCCCATTAAATCTTCCCTTTGTATCTTCTAAAAGAATAAAAAGTAAAATAAGGCCATTTTCTTACTAACAACAGTGCAGTTATCAAATTTTGGAAATGTAGCTTTGCATGTTGAGAGAGTATTTTTAGGTAAACCACAGCCTGTATTGCAGTTTGCCAGGTGTCTCGGTGATGCCCTTACAGCGGTGCTCTTCCCCAGCACGGGTTCCCTCCAGAACTGCATTTAGGCGTCGTATCTCCTTCTTCCTCTTTCATTTGGCACATTTCCTCAGCCTTTCTTTGTCTATCAGGACGTTAACATTTTTTAAAGAATACGGGCCATTTATTTTATAGAATGTCCCTCAGTTTGGATGTGTCTGATGTTTCCTGATAATTCATCTCAAGTAATGCGTCTGGGGCAGGACTAAGTTGATGTGTCCTTTTCGGGGTACCCCCTTCAGAAGCCTGTGGTGTCTGTGGCCCCTCGCTGGAAACATTCACTCTGACCACTTAGATGAGGTGCTATCCGGTTTCTCTCCTGTGCAGCTTTTTCATGTTGTATTTAATAATTTGTACAGAGATACTTGGAGACAACAGAAGTGTCCGAGTCCTTATCAAACTTTCCCTTCTTCCGCTTTTCCTGGAGTGCTTAATAACCTTCTTTGAGTTGTTCTGTAGATTTATGGGCTTTTCAAAATATTGGGAAAATATCTGAAGAAGCAAGCACACAATCATTTCATAAATGTTTGACAGAAGAGCTGGTCCTGAGCAGAGAGCTAAGGCAAGCTCAGATGCACTCAAAAGGGAGACCTCACGTCCGGGGCTGGGAGGTAGTTCAGTTGTGGGAGGAGCAGCCACCTGCGACAGTCCCATCCCCATCCCTCCTCCCTCCTCCCCCCACCCCACCCTGAGGATGCCCTCTTAGGAGCCAGAGATCAACACACAGCTGCTTCTCTCTGACTGACTCTCAGAACTGTGAAACAGCTAGGCACACTTGTGCAAAAGGGTAAATAAAAAGACAGGAAAAGCAGCACATATCAGAACTTTCTGGGGAAAAATAAATCTAATTCCAGGGTATATTCAAGGTTTGTACATTTTGCTCAGTCCCCTCTGTCTACTGTTTTTGTGCCCAAAGTATTTTTTTGTTGAGGATAACGTTCAAAAGTTGTTTCTGTACACAGCATGGTGCGAATCCAGATACATCCATTTCAGAAAAAATCATCCACAGGGAAAATTCTTTTAGAAGGGAGGTTTTCAAGATTTATTCCTCATTTACCAAAAGGTTTTTAAAAGCAGAACATACTATTGCTTGGGACCCAAGTTAATCCAGATCCTGTGGCTTGTATAAAGCATTCACTTCCCTGAATGTTTTGTGGAACCTTATGAAGTATTATTATAGAAACTCAGATTTTTTTGTAAACCCTGTGTACCTGTAAATCCTTTCACTTTGGAGACAAACTGCTTTATCTTTTCAGATTAGCTCTCAAGAATGTTGAAAATACCTCACCAACTCTTCTTGTTTTTAGTGAAGTATAGTTGATTTACAATACTGTGTTAGTTTCAGGCGTACAGCAAAGGGATTCAGCTTTCTATTCAGATTATTTTCCATTACAGGTTCCTATAATGTGAGACACTGAATAGAGTTCCCTATGTTATACAGTAATTCCTTGTTGCTCACCTATTTTATGTACCATAGTTTGTATCTGCTGATTCCATACTCCTAACTTTCCCTCCCTCCTTATCTACTCTTCTCTGTCTCTGCCTCTTAGGAGTTAAAACAGGCACCACCCAAGCCAATGGTCAGATCCCCCAGGCAACACAGTCTGTGAATACTGCTCTCGGAGAAGACCGGAGACACCTTGAAACAACCAAGGTAAGACTGGGGGTACCTGACCTACTTCTATCAGACTGTCACTTGTAAGCCCATATTCTAAACTGTGTTCAAGTAACTGCTCCTTTAAAAAAGAAAAAATAACAGTTCCAACAATTCAAGTCACTATAATTTCATTTAGATAATTGTTCCATATGTATATATATTATCTTAAAGTTACATAGGCTAGAAGGGAAAATTAAAACCAACTACTACCAACACAGCTTCAGGAAAATGTAAGAATCTTTTTTAATTCTGAGAATTGGTAACTATTTTTAGTTTAGCTACACTTATTTTGACTGAAGTGATTTTTGTTTGTTTAATTCAAGTGGTTTTAGCCCTCTCTGAAAGTGGCACCTACATTTTAAACCCTTGGGATTTTAAATTATTTTTTCTGAATAACTTAAAGCAGTGTGATGGTCAGAAGCCCTTTATTAAATGCTAACTGGGCCCCAAACCAAATTAGAAGAATACTGATAAGGTTCCACTGTAAAATATGCATTTTTGTATTTTTCTGTTAATGTTCTACATACATCCTCAGGCTAATGGAGAATAAAACACTTTTGAAAATAATAGCCAAATTGGTATAACATTCTCCATAACTTTTTTTTTTTCAGTAGAGGAGATATAATGAAGTTATTTAAATCTAAAATTTAGCTAAAAATTATAGTTACTAGTCCAGTTGCTAACATCTCAATTGACTATACAAGTTCCACTGAATATTTCTCATATGTGACTCAAACCAACTCTAAATATACCTTCAGAAGTTTTCCACCTCACTCTCCCCTGTTACTTTGTCCCATCAGCCAGTGGTGGAAACAAGTCATATAGTTATTGAGCTGCTTATAATTTTTGAAAAAAAATTTAGTTCATTAAAAGGGCCACCTGGGAAGCCCTTATGTATGTACAGGAGCAAAATAATTTCAGACACCCGCTCCTGACGACTGCATTTCACAACCAGCTCAACTCAGACCAAGAAAAATGTATCTGTGTATGCCTACAACCCTAGTAGGGCTTCTCTGGCGGCACAGTGGTAAAGAATCGACTGCCAAGCAGGAGGCTTGAGTTGGATCCCTGGGTGGGGAAGATGCCCTGGAGAAGGGCATGGCAACCCACTCCAGTATTCTTGCCTGGGAAATCCCATGGACGGAGGAGCCTGGAAGGCTACAGTCCAGGGGGTCCCAGAAGAGCTGGACACGACTTAGCGGCTTAAAAAACAAGGGTAAAGACTGAGGTAACCCCAAACTAAACTCTGTACCACTAGAGCTCTAAGACACTAGCAACCTTGTATCAAGCAGTTCCTAGAAGATACATTATTAGTATTTTAGTAAATACCTTGTGAAATAGGGCGAAGTCTTCCATTTACGGAATACAAGGAAGATTAGCACCAGGTGATAACGTTAAATAATAATATTATTGATGATACTGTTGAAGGGCATTTGGAGTCGTTCTCTGTCCCAAAGCACAGAAGGGCTAATTCAGGGACAACCTGGAGTCTCAGGACTGAGATTTAGGGGCCACCCCTGGCGGGGGTTNGGGGAGGCGGGGAGCAAGATTTCATGTCGGATCTCATGAAAGCTTTGCAGAAGAAGAGAGGCAACATGTCCTAAAGGGAAGCTTAGAAATACCTTTGGATGATGGGCGTGACATTGCTAGCCTGAAGTGTATTTTTGCTACTTTGTTTATATGACATCTCGTTCATTTTAGATACAGTATTGAAGTAGAATGCGCAAATGTAAACTTCCCTCTGTTGCCCAAGTACATTAGTAATCCTTAACCTGCACAGAATTCAGACTATCTGCGTCAGTGTACTTATTTTTTCTGTGTATTCCCATTTCCATGGATTTTTATCTTCCCTTTCAGGTTAATTAAAATAATGTTTTTGTTCATTTATTTTATTATGTTCTGAACCATCAAATTAATAAAAGTTTAAAATGTTTTATCTGAAAATGGTATTTCTAGAAACATCAGTATAAATCTAGTGCAATATCAATCCTATTTTATAATATATAATTGACCTTTTACAAATCCTAGGCCTTCTAAAGTCTTGTTGATCTTCGAAATATGTTTCATCTCTGTCTCAGTAACCTCCAGAATTTTCAGAAAAGTCGAAAGAGGAGAAAAAAAACCAGGAGCGGTAAACTGAATTTAGTTTCTTTGAGATTTCATTGTTTGGTTGAAGTCCTGGACATACCTAACTTGGTTTTGGTTTTCTAGTAGCTGAATAACATAGTAATTGGGGGTGGGGTGGGGAAGCTTTTTAGATAGTTTTTGGATTCTCTGTTACTTTACTTTTATTTGCTATTAGTTGTTATGATGCTACAAATTGCTATAAAAATTTAGAGGCAGGAAAAGGCAATCATATTCTTCAATCTGGTATGTTTTCCCTCAGATAAACTTAATGCTCAATTTTAACAACCAGTTTAAGTTCCTGTTACCCTTATCTCTCTTCTCTAATTGGCCGCGAATCCTTTTAGATTTTTTCAATTTTATTTCCATGGTTCTGTTTCAGTTTCTTTTTAAATATAAAACACCTCAAAATCAAAAGTAATCTCTAAATTGACATTTAAAACAGAAAGCAATTTCAGGTTTTAAAACCAAAATATTTAATCATTAAACCTTGGTAAGGTGCACTCAATTTTTCCTAAACACTGGGACCAATGGCCATGGAAAGGAAGGGCTCAGAGAGCAGGACCAGGGGACTGAGAAAGGGAAAGGGAGAGATGTGTTTATTATGGGCTTCAGTGATGACCCCCAAACCATCAATTCAAACATACAGAAATATAAAAATGCAAACTTTAAAATGTTCTTGAGTTTTAGCATTAGATGATACATAGTTTAGAAAAACTACAGAAGAGAATTAGCTGATTTTGTGGTCAAAATATTGATGCAGTTTTAGTGGACCAAAAGGTTGAATGCACTGTTTCTGTCTATCCCTGCCTTTGTTACAGGATATAAATGAAGACACTAGGAAGCAGATGGTCTAGACAGTCCTTGCTTTGCAGAGTTCGGCCTGCACAAGTTCCAGTTAGCACAATGTAGTTAAATAACACTAGACTCCCCAACATGGTTCATATATGCTGCCATGGTATTTTAACTAGTAATTAGTTTTAACTGGTAAGTAATTACACGGAGTACAAACTTTGCTGTTAGCTTTTCAACCCACAAATCGCTATATACGTAACAGATACATATCATGATCAGTGACCAGTTACATCCCTTCTTTCAATGCCTGTGAGGGATTGACCACTGAATATTTGTTATTCAGTTTTTGTACAGACAGAAAAGTGTCTTAAGGTGATAAGGTATTATACATATGTGTCAAGTCATTAATGTTTGGAGATATAGAAATATTCATAGATTAATTGAAACTATGTCAGAATTCCTTTAAAATACTTGGGGATATGTAAATTATACTTCAGTGAAAACAATAACTAGAAATGGAAAGTGTGAAAGGGTATAAATGAAGCAAGACTGATCATGCATTGATAATAAATTGGTTGAATGGTAAATCAGGTTCATTAAACTATTCTCTTTATTTTGGTAAATGATTGAAAATTAGCATAATAGACAAAAAAAGCTTGAGGAGTACAATTAAATTATATTATTTGATATGACCCAAATTTCTAGGTATATGGTGTTAGATTGCTAGTATTAGATAAAAATTTATAAATTCATTAAAAGATTGTCATAATTTTTTTTTAGTTACTGAGAATAACTCAGGTGGTTTATTTATTAAAACAAAAATTATCACAAAGAAGTTCCAGAGAGTAGGGCAAGTTTATTTGCTTAAAAATATATTTCTATACATTACCATTATTACAGAGTGCGGTATTGTCAAGAAAATGTAGGTGATCGTTAAGAATTTATCAAATAGATTGTTCTATCCTGGATTTGATGACAGAAGCATTCCTTAATTGATTTGCCCCAGATTAAGCTGAGCAGCTAACCCTGAGGCCTCTGGCCCGGGAAGGAGTTGGGGAAGAGGAGCCTGCTCTCTCAGCTGCAGAATGCTTCTGCAGAGGAGGGCGGAGAACCTGCTGGAGGAGGTGGACCTGGGAAACAACTTAAACTAGATAAATACAGATTCTCTTACTAGGACCCTTATGAATTTTCTAAATTTTTGCAACAACTAGGTAAATTTTAAATGTATATGAAGCTGCTTAAACATTTTCTGTTTCATTACAACTTCAACTACGGCTGTTACTTAAGATTTCTGTTGCTCCACAGAAAGTTCCTTAGGTATTAGTTTTTTTGCTAAAACAGAAGAATGAATATGTACAGTGTCACGAAGAATATGTATATATCCTGATCATTTCTTAACTCCTTCACAGCATTAAGAGAATTATAATTTTCTAAAATAGTTATAAAAATAAGAGGATGTCAGTGATTTACACTATTTCCAGATAAAGGGTATGGATTCCAACTGATGCTCCTTCCTCATTTGCAATTTTGCCCTGTGACGTAAACTGAGGCATCAAAAAGAACTCACCTCTTTCAACAATAAATTTTAGGATCGAAATGTGTATTTTCATTTAGTTATAATTAAGTCATGGGGATATACTGTATGGTGACTATAGTTAATAATACTTTACTGTATATTTGAAAGTTGCTAAGAGAATCTCAAAAAAAAGAATAGCTCTCTAAAGTCCTCATCACAAGAAAAAAAAAGTAGCTATGTATGGGGACAGATGGCAACTAGACTTACTGTGGTAAGCATTTCACAAAATACCCAAGTATCAAATCATTATGCTGTACACTTGAAATTAACAAAATGTTACATCCAACTATACCTCAATTTAAAAAGTAAGGATAACACATATTAAACTGATCTATCTCACCTGCTAGTTTAAAAGCTCCCTGAATATATTTTTATACTTTTCCACAGCACCTTGCAGAGAGTGGATTCTCAAGAAATGTTTGATGCAGAAAAGTAAACACAAGAGGTATGTGTCAAGGGTTATAGGTCTGAAGGTTTGACCAAATCTTTTTCTTTTCCCGAAATGAGAATTTAACCCCTGGTTAACTTTCTGGGTCTGTTCCCCTGATAACCTGATGAGTGTTTTGTCCACTGTATCACCATACAATAAGGGTCATGACTGACAAATAACACTTGGCCGGGGATAACTGTAAACACCTGCGAGAACGCCGGGGTGCCTTTCCTGTGAGGACTCGTGGGATAAGGCAGGTCTCTTGCGGGGATATTGGAAACTATGCCCATGGAGTTGTTATAGGAGCCACTGGTTTGTGTGGAACATTCAGCTCTTCAGCCAGGGCCACCCCTGCGCCTTCCCAGCGTGGATCATGTCCTCCTGCACCTGAGCTTTACCGCTGTCCCTTCCTGCCTGTGTGGACACTGCAAGAACTGCAAAGGAGGAGCCTGATGGTGCCTGCTGGTAAGCTGTGCTTCTGTCCTATGTCTTCTGAATCAAGTGGGGCCAAGAGCAGCCTGCAGTAATCTTAGGAAGCTGAATACTTACTTGAACCTAGGAAGATACCTCCCCATCCACAGTGGACACTGCATCCTTACTTAAATATAACTTGAGGAGAGAGAGAAAACAGGGAATGAACAAAAGAGAGGGAAGGAAGGCAAACAAAACACCTTATTAAACACTGTTTAGTTCCCTAGTTTAGACTGATTTATCTCAATATAATACTGACAACTCCTTTCTCTAAGAAGGTTACACTTTATTTCTTTTTTTAGTTCTACCAGTTTATTGCTACCAACCCATCTCCCTCCACCCTCGTGCACACATGCTCAGTCATGTAATCCCATGGACTTCGGCCTGCCAGACTCCTCTGTCCGTGGATTTTTCCAGGCAAGAATACTGGAGTGGGTTGCCATTTCCTTCTCCAAGAAGGTTACACTTTAAAATATTTCCGCTGTCCCTTCCTGCCTGTGTGGACACTGCAAGAACTGCAAAGGAGGAGCCTGATGGTGCCTGCTGGTAAGCTGTGCTTCTGTCCTATGTCTTTCTGAATCAAGTGGGGCCAAGAGCAGCCTGCAGTAATCTTAGGAAGCTGAATGCTTACTTGAACCTAGGAAGATACCTCCCCACCCACAGTGGACACTGCATCCTTACTTAAATGTAACTTGAGGAGAGAGAGAAAACAGGGAATGAACAAAAGAGAGGGAAGGAAGGCAAAACAAGCCAACAAAACACCTTATTAAACACTGTTTAGTTCCCTAGTTTAGACTGATTTATCTCAATACTGACAACTCCTTTCTCTTTGTTTTTCCTTAATACTCTAAGAAGGTTACACTTTCTTTTTTTAGTTCTACCAGTTTATTGCTACCAACAACAACAACCCATCTCCCTCCACCCTCGTGCACACATGCTCAGTCATGTAATCCCATGGACTTCAGCCTGCCAGACTCCTCTGTCCGTGGATTTTTCCAGGCAAGAATACTGGAGTGGGTTGCCATTTCCTTCTCCAAGAAGGTTACACTTTAAAATATTTTATTTTCTAAGATGAAATGCTGGATTTTGTCAGGCTAATTGAACTACTGAAATGAAAAGTTAATGCAAGCTCCACATTAGAAATGGCAAGAACAGTTTCTCTGTCATGCCCACTCTGGTGGGTTGTGGTGACTACACAGTATGCTGTGATGAAGAAGATTCTGAGGCTGTGACCCATGTGGGACAGAAAGAGGGCCATGATCATCAGTAACATCTGCAGGATTGAAGAAGGACAGCGCAAGTGCCGGGATCATTCCTCTTCTAAAAAAATATTGTGTGTAATGCATTTTTAAACAATTAGGAAATATTTGAGATGCAGAAGGTATACAGAATAATAAAAACAAACACCTGTGTACCCTCTACTCAGCTTCCTAACCCAAACTTCCTCCTTGTTGCTAAGCAACCACCGTCCAAAGATGATGTTTTCATCTCTGTTCATTTTTGTTACTTTTATTATATGTGCATATATCCCTAAAAACAAGATTTTACATGTGTTACATGAAATTGGGGTGGCGACACATTGTATGTATTCCTTTGCTTATTTTGCTAACATTATATGTGAGATTCATCCAAGCTGAAGAGTGTGTAGATGGTGCTTTCATCTTCGTGGATGTCAAGACTCATTTCAGTGGACCCAGGTCACTACAGCCATGGAAGCCTGGTGAAAACAAAACCTAACTCCCTCTGGAGAGATGCTCAAATCAGGTTTCACCAGATTTCTGAGACTAAAATCCAAAACCCCAACATGAACAGTGAATAGCAGAACCAGACCCTCAGGAGTTCAAATAATGTAGGTATGTGATATCAAATGAATACTTAAATTTTTAAATACATTAAAGAATAAATTTTGAAATAGAGGAAAATGCTCCACTGATTTAAAAAAAAGAAAGAACAGGCAGTGAGAATTCTTGGAAGTTAGTGCTAGCAATGATGTGGTTTAGTAAGTCTGCAAAGAAGAAAAATAAGTGTGTTTAGAAGATGATACATTTAAAAATGAATAAAAATAAGTCCAGAAAAGTCAACGACCTTACCTCTGAAAAATCGTTCCTTTCTGCTTTTTGTACTGCAGATTCTGCCATCCAGTTCTTCAGCACGTATCTAGGATTAACAGCTTAAATAAAGGGGGAGAGGTGCGTTGTGGGACAATGATTACTAAGTCCACACGGGCCATATGAAATTACCACTGAAATGAGATAACCTTTAAGAACTTTGCTGGAAGGCCCAAATGAGAACAATGATCAACATCAGTCAATTCTGATTGTTTACAAACAATGTACAGTATTCTGACCTTGTGGCACAGAAAAAACTGCTTAGCATTATGAGCAATATTATGGTTTATCTTTTCAGTGTTTCATCGATTTGGTTTTTCACCATGTTCAGTTCACTAAGCATTTTATAAAGTGCAGAGAAAGTAGCAAATTCATCCTGTGGCCCACATGAAGAGAGGAAAAAAGTTGCTGCTTTTAACATCTTCAAACAGAATTAAGGTCTGACTCAGACTGTTCAATGATGATATTGCCAAGGGCAAACAGGAAGGGTTACATGCAAGCAAAACTCTCTGTAAATTATATTTTTTACAGTAACCATGCATTTTTTCATACTAAAAAGTATTATAATAATGGGACATTGCAGAAACTATGTCTTTATTTGAGATGAACCTTTTCCAAAATAATTTATCAAGTGGGTGGAGAGGAGGCAAGTTTATCCCCAGTGGCATAACAGGAATTCAGAAAGGACTCCCAATATCACCATTTTGTGATTCTCAACAGCATTCTTCTGAGTTACTTGAATGGACAGAACATACAAATTCCATTGCAACTTTGTTTTAAAGATCTGCCAAGACATGGCAGATAATCTGAAATACAACTTCTAAAACAGAACATCCCTGTGGCCCAAGTAATCCTATTTCTCTAGGAACATAGTCTATGGAAACAAATTTAAACAAATTCAAAAGCATTATTTATAGTATGGAAAATTAGAAACAACATAAATACCTATTAATAGGGGGCTAAGTGAGACATTACACACCCTTTTGTTAGGTAGTTAGAATAGGGAAAAGGAGTCCAGAATGGTGGTGGCTAAAAGACCTGGAAGGGAAAAGCCCGCGAAAATAGAACAAAGGAAGGTCCGAGGACCGAAAGAGAACCTCAGGTAAAACAAACAACACTCCAGGCTGGCCCAATTTGCATAAGACAGGCCCGGGGACGGGGAAACATATAAACAGAGGAGCCAAAGCCCTCTTCTCGCTCTCCAGAGCCATGGGGCACTCTTCTCTTCGCATCTTTGGGTTGACGTGCCCTCACGCCTCAAAGATGGATTTTCCTGCTATTTAAATAAATTGAGCTGTAACACTGATTTACTTAAGAGCTATAACACGGTCTGTCCTCCGAGAGCTGTGACCTGCCAAGAGGCTTTAATGTCCGTCACTCCAAATTTTGGTTGTGATGAGACAAAGAACTGAGGAGCATACACTCGCCTGACACTTTCAAAGACAGATTATGCAGTCACTAAAAATGTTACATTATAAAGGATGAAGTAGGAAAAATGTTTATTTTTAGTTAAAAAAGCTCTAAAACTAAAAAAAAAGCTCTAAAATTATACCACGATGATTACTACAATATTTTCTCATAATCAATACACACAGAAAAAGAAAGGCCAGAAGGAAATGCATCAAAGAGTGACAGCAATTGTGTTTGAGTATGGGAGTCTTTTTATTCTTTCTACAAATTTGCATTTTCCAAATTTTAAAGAATTCATAGAGAACTCTTAAAATAAAAACACATATAGACAATGAATATATACAGTCCTTAGATGAAAAAGAAATTGGCATGCAAAGAAAACTGTGGAAGCAGTCAGATTAGGCAGAGGGAGTATAGTCACCCAATTTAAAGTTTGACAATCTTAACACGTTAGAGAGACCTGGCAGAGGAATGCTGTGAAAATATGCTGGGACTGGCAGCTGTAAACAGGAGTACCTTGGATCAAATTACACACATACAAACTATTTGAAATCAGAAAATTGTAGATCTGCTTATAGAATTCTTTGATGAGTTACCTAATTCCGTACAGTTTTTTAATCTGGTCTGGAACTTTCCCATTGCTCATTGTGGAAATTAACAGTACATTGTTCAGCACTTATTATTTCTTTAACTCAAAGCTGCAGCCTTGAATTCACTTAAATATCTTTCATTTTTCCATCTCATCCATCCTGTCATGACCAAACAAATCCAAATCCTAAAGACAGGCATTATATTTTCTTCTTTCAATTTCTTTTTTTCTCTTAATTGCTGAGACTATCCATATTGAGCTGCCCTATAAATTCTGTATGACTACATCAATGTATGTAAGTGGCTGGCTTACGTATCTGGGGCCCATGCTGAGCCCCAGATATATTCACTTCCTTGTAAAAACTCCGCTTGCTTTTATTTCTACAATGATGTCCTGAGTCAAAAGCAATCTCATCCACTAAGTTAGTGTGGGATATTTGCATCAACCTTATTTCATCCACATGGATCAGCCACGCTGATGATACCAACTTACTAGCTCTCCTCAAGAGTCCTCGGTAAGGCAGGAGAACTCCAGGACTTGAGTCCTTCTGTCTTAACTTATTTGATCTGTTAGATCCCACAGTGCAAAAAGAACTAACTTCCATTTTTTTTCTTCCATTTCTTTTACCAAGCATGATGTCGCATGGTAAACTGAAAGCAGTATATAAAGGTTTTTTTTTTTTTTTTTTAGCTCTATCATTTAGTGGATGTGTACTTTGGCCCAGGAACTGTAACAAGATAACTTACAAATATTATTGCTCGCGATCACAACATTCCTGCAAAATATGCCCCCTTTTCAAACAGCGAGAACCTTGAAGCTATATTATATAGCAAAAAAGTGGCAAGATGAGATTCATCTGTCAGATTCCAAAACTCATGTTCTTTGCACCATAAACCACATAATCTTCCTTGTCTCTCCACCATCTTTTTTTTTTTTTTATACAAAACTTGTTTATTGGGATGGTCTCCCGTTCATCTTGATACAGGGTGCTTTTAGTGCTGCTTCCGTCTGAAGGAGCATCCTTCTGTAAGCCTTGCTTTTCCTCCTGTAGGCTGGCAGAGGACAGTAGAGCTCTTTGCAACCCCATGGTCTGTAGCCTGGAGGCTCCTCTGTCCATGGGATTCTCCAGGCAAGAATACTGGAGTGGGTTGCCATTCCTGTCTCCAGGGAATCTTCCCAACCCAGGGATTGAACCTAGGACTCCCGCATTGCCCACACATCTTTTACTCTGTGAGCCACCAGGGAAGCCCATTTAGTTATTTGAGATAAGCCCAAAACTTTTATTTTTACCAATTAAATAATTTTGTCTTAAAAAATTTAAACTCCCTGGCACCTATTTTTATCTTAAACACAGTTTTCTGAAAATAACTTGTTCTTCGTTACTCGGCCAGCTTTATGAAAACCCTCGGCTGTCATTAAACTGTGAAAGGCTGTTTGCTCCTGTGCATGCTGTGGTCTCCCTCTTTAACTCTTTCGTGTCCTACCTACAACTTCATACTCTTTCATGTTTGTCGCTTCAGATTCACTGTGACGGTTATGAAGCAGAGTAACTTCTGACAATCGTGTAAGATGTGAGGACAGTTAACAGACACTGGATGAAAGCCCAGGGCGCGCACTCTCTCCAGAGCTTCAAGGCTTTGGGGGGTGGAGGGTGGGGTCCTTGGGCTGTGCTATCAGAGCTGAGGTGAACAGAAGGGTGAGATGTCACCTGTGGGTGAGATGTAAGCATACACACCTCATCCAGAGCAGACTTCCCGGGAGTTAGAAGGAAATGCTGGAAAACAGAAAGGAAGTGAGGAATCTGATGGGTTGATGATGCTGAAGTAACACATTACATGCTCTTTCAAGAAGTGATTAGGTTACTTTACCTCTTCAGTCTCGAAAGGTACTGGGACACCCAGGCAGGAAAGAGTTTGTGCTTTGAGATCATTTTCAGTGCCCAGAATTCCTAGAAGAAAATACAGTAATAGACTGCTTATTAATGTTTGTTCGGTTTATTTTAACTGCATGTTCCTTAAATTGTATGTTCCAATATTAATAATTTATAACGTCCAGATTTCTTTTAAGGTTCTCTATTTCAAGCAGAAGCAGTAAAAATGAATAATGTTTTCCTTTTCTTTATAAAACATTCAACTCAAATTCTAATTCATGGAAATCCATGTAGTAGAATGATTTAAGAGAAATAAAAAAATATACAAAGTTCTTATAAATAGACATTACATGTGAATACATATCAAAACCCTTCCTTTAAATAGGGAACTTGCTTAATTTATAATTTACTTTGAAAATTTAATTTGTAACTTTTATTTAGTTATCCACTAATTCATTATGTCAGCTATGTGCTAGGAACTGTTAGTTGAGAAGGATATAAAAATTAATTAAGACATAGACTCTGCTTTTTAAAAGGAAAATGTGTAAACAAATAATTCAGTGCCATTTGAGAAGTGTTATAGAAATATATATAATGGTTAAAGGAACAGAAATAAGCAATTAGTTCTAGCTAAGTGTTACAGGGTTGAAAAAGTTTCAAATTCAGAAGACACAGAAATGAACTATTAAAATAAACAAAAGCATGTAATCTCCTCTCCTAGATTTTCCCAATATTCAGTAATTTAAATATTAACACTTGTCAAGAACTTGTTCAGATCATGTTAACATTACTTTGTCTCAGTTTTCTACACATTAAATGATAATTAGTTCTGATAGGCAAATCATTACTAATTTTAAAATTATATTCACAATGCTTAATAGTTAACATTTTGCTGAATAAGTAGACATTCTTTTATTCAAATCACTCCTAAAAACATAATTTATGGCTATTTCACACCTGGGAGAACTATATATATATATANTGTCTCTGCTTTTCAATAAGCTGTTTAGGTTGGTCATAACATTTCTTCCAAGGAGCAAGTATCTTTTAATTTCATTACTGCAGTTACCGTCTGCAGTGATTTAGAAGTCCCCCCAAAAATAAAGTATGTCACTGTTTCCATTGTTTCCCCATCTATTTGCCATGAAGTGATGGGACCAAATGCCATGATCTTAGTTTTCTGAATGTTGAGTTTTAAGCCAACTTTTTTACTCTCGTCTTTCACTTTCATCAAGAGGCTCTTTAGTTCTTCTTCACTTTCTGCCATAAAGGTGGTGTCATCTGAGGTTACTGATATTTCTCCCACCAATCTTGATTCCAGCTTGTGCTTCATCCAGCCCAGCATTTTGCAAGATGTACTCTGCATTTAAGTTAAACAGGCAGGGTAACAATATACAGCCTTGTATATTGCACTCCTTTCCCAATTTGGAACCACTCTGTTGTTCCATGTCCAGTTCTACCTGTTGCTTCTTGACCTGCATACAGATTTCTCAGGAGGCAGGTCAGGTGGTCTGGTATTCTCATCTCTTGAAGAATTTTTCAGTTTGTTGTGATTCACCCAGTCAAAGGCTTTGGCGTAGTCAATAAAGCAAAAGTAGATGTTTTTTTGGAACTCTCTTGCTTTTGGATCTCTCAATGATCCAGCAGATGCTGGCAATCTGATCTCTGGTTCCTCTGCCTTTTCTAAACCTAGCTTGAAGATCTGGAAGTTCATGGTTCACGTACTGTTGAAGCCTTGCTTAGAGAATTTTCAGCATTACTTCTGGTTAATATCCATATTATTCCATAAATGCAATGGATCAGTATTGAAATAAAAAGATGACACATATTCTTAAAACTAAATTAAGAACAGCCACTTTGGTAACAGTTGAGCAGTTTCTTTAAAAATTAAACATACATTTACTAAACAACCCAGCACTTCTACTCCTCATATCTACCCAACAGAAATGAAAACATGTTCACACAAAAACTTATACATGAATATTCATAGCAGTATTTATTCACAATAGCCAGAAAATGGAAATGATTCAAACGTCCATCAACTAGTAACTGGATAAAGAAAACATGGTCTATCCTTATAAGGGAGTTATAAAGTAATGAAGAGGAAATAATATTTTAAGATGTACTTAAGAGATATTAAAAGTAATAAAGAGGAAAGAACCACTGATATAGGTTACAACGTGGGTGAACCTCAAAAATACGCTAAGTGAAGAAGCCAGACTAAAGACTACATATCATATGATTCCATTTATACAGAATGTCTAGAAAGGGAAACCTTAAGAGACAGAAAGATTAGTAGTTGCTTGAGGACAGAAGCAGAAAAAAGGGATTCACTGCAAATGGGCACAAAGGGTCTTTTAGAGTGTTGGAATTGCTCTAAAATCGAACTGTGGCATGGCTGCACAAATCTGCACATTATTTAAAAATCACTAAATTATACACTTAAAATGAGTCGAATTTTAGGGTATGTAAATTATGCCTTAACAAACCTGTTAAAGAATAGTGAGTTAAGAAAAAAGCCAAAAGGCATGATTAAATACCTGAGGAATGACTAGTTCCTGTAATTGGCTTTGAGTGATCTCACTGAGCTGCCGAAATGTCATTGTAAAGTCAGCTTCTGTCTTTTCCATGAGCTAATGAAAATAATTACATTTAGCAGCCTCAGTCATTCCAAGAATATACAGTGTATTCAGTCGAATGTTAATCAGGAAATAAGATAAAATGATAATAAACTCACATATAAGAGAAATGCAATTAAATCATCATCACCCTCGCTTTTCCCAAGTAATCCCAATCTGGCTTTGAACAGTTCACTAAATCTAAAAGGAAAAACGCCAATTCGATTTGTTATTAAAATTCTCTCTATTTTAAGAATTGCCCTCAAACCAAGCAGGATGCTTTAATATGTGTTCAAACAAACAAACCTTGTATAATAAAGAACGGGATACTCCTTAAGAATCTGAGTGGCACTGTAGGGAGAGAAAAAGAGAGCATAGGTAAACCTTAATTTAATATTGACATTCTTGAATTACATTTTATGTGAACAAAGTGGACCTTCTCATATATTAAATAATGTTCGATTATGTGTTACTGATTCTATTTTAGTGATTTAATTATATATCATATCTTAGAGAAAATTATCCATATAAATTTACTGTCTCAAAGATTTGAAAACAGTACAGGTCAAATCATGTCACTCCTGAAATATCACTATATACAGTTAGCTTAGAGGATGTCTCTCCATAATACCAAGAGAATTTGGTGTATTTTAAAACTTATCTTAGACCCAAAACAATGCATGAGACACCTCACCCAATACAGTGACATTTTATTTGCCTGAATGGGATAGAGGGGAAAATAATGCGCAAATAGATGCTTAGTGAGGGAAAATATCTGAAAAACTTGTTCTCTTTTAACAATAGAGAAGGTGGCAGAGAAAGGAAGATAACTGTGGGGGGTGGGAAATGCAGTAGTTTCCAAATCAAAGCGGGTAGGGTAGTGGGGAATGAGTGAGTTGCTCAAATCATTAAAAGGTAAGGAAAGTAGGGGGAAAGTTAGATCAAAGATGATGCACAATGTAAAACAAGGAATAAAATATGTCAATTATTATAATCAATGTGAATAGCCTATATATGTCTGTTAAATAAGAAGCCCGATTACTTAGAAATTCAGAAAAACAGTAACAAATAACCTTTGGATCAAAGAAGAAATAAACTATGATTTCGCAGCACCTAAAAAACAATAAACAGGAGAACACTTAATCCTTATAACTATGGAAAAAGGCCAACACTGTACCCTCTCCCCCCAAAAATATATATATAAACATATATGTAGTTTGGAAGCCTTCATTATTAAATATTAAAGATTGTTTTTAAAATGTTTCTTGGTTTTCAAAAAGTGATCACTATACAGATATATTTTCACACTGATTTAATTAGTAGATTTTAGGTTTACTCACAGCTGCTTTTGCCTAGGATTCAATAATGGGTTTAGCGCTTGTAACAACTTGTTTAAATTAAACATCCCAATATTGGCCTGATTTCCTATTTTATATCTTCTTTCATCAGCAGATGTGTTTGGTACAAAATCTGTTTAGAACAAAAATACAACTGTTTTACAATGATGGCAATTATAATAGTTCTTTCTTCATTTTTAAGTTTACATTTAAACTTAATGAATTTATATTTATTAGATAAAAACATTTCTGACATTTAAACATTTAACTCGAGAGTAATGTAAATACTTAATACCCATGCTCATGAAAAATCTTTTAAAATATGAATATTTGCCTAATAGAGGCACACATTTCTAACCTACAAGAATTTCCAGGTTATCACGTGTACTTAACTTGCCAACTCAACAGCATGTTCCCTCACCCTGATCCTATAACAGATCAGTAAAGGGCGAGGTTAAATTACTTGACCAAGGGCACAGATTAAGGATCCATCAGATGCCAGAGCTCAGACTCATGTCTGTCTGACAGCAAAGGCCCTTCCTCCCTTCATGGCATCTTCTCTTAATAAGTAATTCTTTGGCTTTCTGTTTTTTCTGCCACTCCTAGGGGCTTGCAGGATCTTAGTTCCCAGACCAGGGATTGAACCTGTGCCCTTGGCAGTGAAAGCTCGGAGTCCTAATCTCTGGACCACCCATGGATGGGAATTCCCATCTTTGAGGACTCAATATTGTATCCCTGTGGCACCTATAAGATTGAGTAGCACATAACACAACTGTTTAATCTATGAACCCAATTCTTTCTACTACCTCAGCATTGTGTTAGCCATAATGGTTTATCTAAAATAAACCAGTGGTAATTCTTTTTTAGTGAAATAAAGAATATACATGTAAATCATACATACTTGGATTATAGGCCTCCATAAAACCAAATGGACCATAGTCAATTGTAATGGATAGCAAACTGAAGTTATCAGTATTACAAACACCTAATAACAACAAAATGCCAAAAGCATGATAATAAAATAATAAAGCATTTTTAACTATATAAAACTATACAGAATAGGAAAGGTCATGAAGATGCATTTGTTTTAGAAATGAAAAAAATTAGTTTATCAACTGAAAGTTTAACTGGTGAAGTCAAGTAGCTTAATATATATTAAAACTGTGTTTTAAAATTAAATTTAGCCTTTTGTTGTATACTTCCCCTCCCCAAAGATTTCAAATACTACAGGGACAAAAGCCCCAAGAAATAAAAGCTCCTTTCATTTGTCCTGAATTTCTAGCATTATTTTGAAATATATGTAGTTTGGAATGGAACTGAGGCTACTAAAGAAGTAACATTAATTCTCAAAGGTTGTGAGAGTGGGGGAAAGGTAAAATACCCATATTGGCATATATCCATATACCCCATAACTAACAGTCCTTAGCTGCAGACCACCGGCAGTGTGGGGAGGGAGTGTGACCCCCTGGGGGAGGGGGTGTGGCAGAGTGGGGAAGGAGGGAGGCTGGGCGGGCGTACACCAGCCTAATGTAGGAGAGTTGGACGTGGTGGCAGCAGTGCCAGGGTAGACAGTTTCACCCTTTTTCAGAGCAGGATGACTCTGCTTGTCAAAGTGTTCAATATATATATATAGAGAGAGACTCTCTAATCCAGTCGTTCCACTTTTAGGAGTTTATCCTCAGAAACTCACCTTCAAATGCAGCTGTATGGTGGTCATGCAGCACAGTTCATAAAAGCAGAAACTCCCTGCTCACCACCCCAAGCCTCCCAAGTAAGACACAGTCAGTATGCAATTAAGGCAGAGTTCAAGAGGTTTTGCAGCGTGAGAACCCTCTTTGGTATTCAGTCAGAGATCTTAGTATATATATGATTTGCTTTTCAGTATTCTCAGTTGAGGCAGGTATTCCTTCCAGTGTAACCCTATGCAGTGAATGGCTTCCAACACACACAAGCCAGCCCTATTTTTATAGATGTATGAATACCATCCAAAAAAAGTCTAGAAGAATTTAGATGAAATCGTTACTAATGACCCTGGAAGACCAAGAATATCCTGGAAGACAGAACTCACAGGCACTTCTGTATATTTTAAATTCTTTACCATAAGCAGATAGTGCTTTTATGATTAAAGTTTTTTTTAAAAAAGTTGTTAAAAGACCTAATATATACTCACAAGGTTAAAAAGTTTTACAGGTAACAATACCCTCATCAAATCAAAGATGCTTATTCTATTTTGTGTATCTGTTCCATTCAAAATCATTTTAAACCTGAGAAAATTGTTTCTCTTTTGCTAAAAACAAATTTATATATTATAAATGTTATTCCTGCTCACTGGTGGGAATATTTTAAAGTACATACAATAAAGAAGTCTTCTGGCTTCAACAGATTGATTCTACTTTCTTATCAGAAGACTGAAACATCAGTAGATAACTCACCATGAGCAAAACCAACAGACATCCACAAGGCAATGAGCTGTGCTGTCTCAAATACCACAATAGAAAAAAAATCCTAAAATAAAACTAAGAAGATTTTCAGATTTCTCAGTAGTGTAATATGCTTTTAGGATCTTTCTGTTTCCAACATGAAAAGATCCTCTCAAAGGTGGGCCAAAAGATGATTAAAGGGATGGAAATTAGCACATGTAAGAAAACAATGGAAGAACATAGAATTATTGACCCAGAAATAACATATAAAAGACTCAGGCACAGTATTATGATCAGATTTTCTCCATGTACAGTAAGAAAAGGAAAAACATTAGAATTCAGCATAAAGGAGTTAAATGTAAACAAAATGAGTTATTAAACTTTGAAATGAGTCACCAAGAAAAATAATGGAATTTCTTTCTTTGTAGCTGTTACAAGAAAGAAAAAGGTTATGCAGATCAAAAAATTTCCATAAGAATATAAAATCACATTTGCTTATGATGTATTTTTTTTTACAACCACTACTGTAGAAATATCTATATATCAAATGTGTGAGAAAAGAATATATGTGACCAAGTTACAAAACACAACATATGTAGTCAGGATGTAGTCACATCTGTTCTCTTTTTCTAGACACCTTTCAAACAGAACAACTTTCTTATCCATGTCTTGTCTGCGAGGTGGTTCATCATCTTTTCCTTTCAGAACATGTTCAAAGTGCTCTACATTTCCCTTTTTAACTTTAGTTTTTTAAGCACTAGGTTGTAAGCACTAGGTTGATGGTGGCCAGCCAATAGAGAAAACAGAGTACTGCCCTTTGTTTTAAAAAAAAACTTACCATCTACTAAGGGGAAGTACTCCTGTATGATGAAGTCTAATAACATCCTAGAGATAAAGGGGAGATAGCCATCAGTGTTCCTCAGAATACAATATCGAATATCAATCATCTCAGTCCACTTCTGACATTCATGAATTCATTAGAATGCATGCTTATCATTTTAAAAAATAAAATAAGATTTTACGCTCAACCACAGAGAAATATTTCCTTAATATCAATCACAACTGGCAATATGTTTCTAAGATCATATTAGATGCCATTTTATTATAATGCAACTCAGATTGGTTCAACAAACATCTACAGAGAACCTCCAAGTGCTAGGAAAAAGAATGACAAAACCCAAACCCAGACGTTAAAGAGCACAGAGTCTATTGGGGAGAAAAACATCTAAAGAAATAATGACCTCACTGTCTAATACATGCAATCATAGAAATATATAAAAAGGACAAAGATAACAGAGCAAGAAACGATTTTCTATGTGTAGAAGGTCATGTAAGGTTTCACAAATAAGGTGTCAAAGAAACTGATCAATGTTTCAAGTTAAAATATTGAAGTTGTGTATCATGTTCTATTCCCTACTTTAAGTGACTACTCTGGTTACTCGACTACTAGTGTTTCTTGCATTGGATGAGAGAGAATCCTGAAAAAAAGCTGGGGATTGCAGATATGATTTGGGAATTATTTAAACCCATTCAGAACAATAGGAATGGATTAGAGTTTATTTAGAATTGATTAGAGACCTGTTTCAGGCACTTGGGAAACAAAAAGGAATATATACATGGTTGTGGTAGCCAACACAGGCATTTTCAGGATAAACACGTCACCAATATATATCAAATTTCAGAGACAGAAGTGAAATATAATTGAAGGATGACCACCAGATGGAACAATTTCAGTGATCTGGTAAATCTGAGTGGAATGACCATCCCCCAGAAAAATGAGAAGTTAGAAGCAGCGCCCTTTGAGAGGAGACTCCTCTCAATAAGCTCAGATGACCCTTAGTTCAGTGTTGCTGTTGTTGTTCAGTCGTCAAGTCGAGTCCGACTCTTTGAGACCCTATGGACTGAGGTATGCCCTGTCCTTCACTGTCTCTTAGGATTTGCTCAAATTCATGTCTACCAAGTCAGTGCTGCTATCTAACCATCTCCTCCTCTACTGTCCCCCTCTTTTGCCTTCAATCTTTCCTAGCATCAGGTTCTTTTCCAATGAGTCAGTTCTTTGGTCACTCAGGTGGCCAGAGTATTGGAGCTTCAGCTTCAGCATCAGTCCTTCCAATGAATATTCAGGACTGATTTCCTTTAGGATTGACTGGTTTGATCTTTTTGCTGTCCAAGGGGCTGTCAAGAGTCTTCTCCAGCACCACGAGTCCAGTAATCACTTGCTAAAGAGACTTGGGAGAAAAGTCATGACAACGGTGATGACTTCTCTGCTCTTCTCTCTCTCCATACTCTTCGTGGACCAGGAATTTGGATTTACTAAGCTGATAACTTCCCTGATAGCTCAGTTGGTAAAGAATCCGCCTGCAATGCAGGAGACCTGGGTTCAATCCTTGGATTGGGAAGATCCCCTGAAGAAGGGAAAGGCTACCCACTCCAGTATTCTGGTCTGGAGAATTCCATGGACTCTATAAGTCCATGGGGTTGCAAAGAGTTGGACACAACTGAGTGAATTTCACTTCACTTTCACTTTCAAGCTGATAACTACAGTGAGGATCCATGATCCAAATGATTCTAGTTTGTCCAAGAGAATTTTCTTACATTATTTATAAGTGGCTTTTTAACAAATGGAAACAGATTCCTCTTAGAGGAGGAAACGTTTTTGTTTGAAGAAACATCTTGCTAAGTCAGCTTTGAGGAAGAGAGAATTTTGTGAGGGCTGATTCCGTAAGCCCCAAGACATTGGAGTTTGGTGGAAGCTACACTGCGTGTTACAAGGGGAAGAGCTTTTGATCTTTTGAGGGAGTTGTTCCTCTGTCTCACCTGAGGAAATCTTCAGTAAGATTTGTTCATAAATGCTTTGTGCAGTTTCAGTCTGTCGTTTGTTTGCTTTCGCCCTGTTGAAGGGACTGGGTCAACCCAGTATGAAACAGGCACCACACATGTCAAAACCGGAGTCTGGGAAAGAAGACACAGGAGCCAGAGCACGATCCTGGGAACTCCAGATGTTGGAGGAGAGCTCCGGAACCTCGTGAGGCTGAAGAATTCAGGAGTTCGAGTTGCTTCCACCCGGTGTCTGGGTGGCACAGAGGCCCTCAGTTCCAACTGGGTTTCATACTAGATAAAATCACTCCTTGAGAAGAGGGTCTACTGAGTCTAAACACATCTTTTTCAACCTCCTAGAAACCCACACGATAGTAGACACACAGCATATCTAATAGATGTTTAAAATATCTATTAATAGAAATTTGAGGTCTTACTTACAAGAAAACCAAATATATTTTAACTTTGTGTTTATAGCACACAAACAAGTGTTTCTTCCCACTGTCTTCTACCATGAAAAAAAACACTGGTTTTCTAACCTTAGTAAATCCAGTTCACCATAATGAGTCAAAATTTCTAACGATCCAATTCTAAACCAGGATTTTGCAACACACAGCATTACTGCACCTGGAAAAGAAACATTTATTTTAGCATAAACTATTTCAAACTGTGCAAAAACAGCATAACATGCTCTTCTTAAAAATGAAATTATTTTAATAAAAAAGAATAGAGTGATTGAATTTATCAGAAAAATAATTAATTTATATCCTACAAAGAGCCAAGGCTTTTATCTCTTTCTTTACTTAGTAAAGCATGTAAGGCTGTCAGCCATTCTCAATAGCTCTGCTTTATAAGTAGTTAAATATTATTGGTTTTCAGGTCTTCTCCCTCACCAGAGATTTAGAGACAGGTTTCCCTTGCTCTTTCTCTTTTTACTACTCTATGGCACTTTCTGATGTTTTACTTCTGGCCTACCAACAGCTGAGGGGAAAGGTAACCAAACTTACTGGACGTAAACAGGAAGTAAGAGCAATTAGGATCTGAGGAGAGGTCTTGGGGGGTGGTTTGGGGGGGTGGTCTCCTGGGAAGGAAGTGTATGAATGTTGGTGCACTGGTTTTGTGACGTTTGGGGATGTTTTGCATTGGTTGTCCATGAATTTCCCATGTTCACTTCCCAGATGTTTTGCTATTTCAAAAGGATGGCTTAGTGATATAAGCATATGAGAAAGGATATTCTATTATCATATCATAATGCTGAACTTACATCATGAAGATCCACAGGTCACATTTTTGATCTTTTGGTTTTTAGTATTTTAAAGTCTTTACTGAATTTGTTACAATATTGCTTTTCATATTTTGGCTTTTTGGCTACAAGCCATGTGGGATCCTAGCTCCCTGACTAGGGGTTGAACCTGCACCCCTTGCACTGGAAAGCGAAGTTTTAACCACTAAATCATCAGGGAAGTCCCCACAGGCCATGTTTTACAAAGACTGCTGAGATGCCCAATATCTGTTATTCCCGAAGAAGTTAGTCTGATTTTATGTAAGCATTCTAAGAACTGTCATTACCTTGTTCTTTTGCAAGGTTTCCACTGTAGAACTGATCTCTCCATACCACATCATCACTCACAACCAGACCGAAAGGTAAGAGAACCATCCAAGTTGTACTTTTAACTGCTAGCAGGCTATCAAGAAGTTATAAGCTATACCTAGTTATGTATGGATGTGAGAGATGGACCATAAAGAAAGCTGAGCACTGAAGAATTGATGCCTTTGAACTGTGATGTTGGAGAAGACTCTTCAGAGTCCCTTGGACTGCAAGGAGATCCAACCAGTCCATCCTAAAGGAAATCAGTCCTGAATATTCATTGGCAGGACTGATGCTGAAGCTGAAACTCCAATACTTTGGCCACCTGATCTGACTCATTTGAAAAGACCCTGATGCTGGGAAAGGTTGAAGGCAGGAGGAGACAGGGACGACAGAGGATGAGTTGGTTGGATAGCATCACCAACTCAATGGACATGAGTTTGAGCAAGCTCTGGGAGTTGGTGGTGGACAGGGAAGCCTGGCATGCTGCAGTCCATGGGGTTGCAAAGAGTTGGACACGATTTAGCATCTGAACTGAACTGAAAACTGTAAGAAATAACGAGAAGTCACGCTCTTGGGGTGTATTTGCTCACTTCACTGATGTGTTTCTGAAGGTAATGGGACGCAGTCCTGAAAGCTAGCTTACAGGAAAGGAATTACCTTGCAGCTCTGCTGGTGGGAATTCCGAGATAATGCAGAGCCTCACTACACAGAAATTCTCTTACAGAGGAACGAAGGACAGCTCTGCTGTTGCCATTTCTATGGGTAAAACGATAAAAAAGATTTTCAGTTATAATTCAGATAACATTAATTTTTACTTAGATGACTAAAATTAAAAAAAAAAAGAACCCAAAATGTACCAGGAGTATGGGGTCTTTCCTGAGCCTTTTAACTGGAGCTCCCATTTTTCACCTTGCCTTAGGGAAAAAAAAAAACAACTAAATATTAGAAGATTTGTGTTAATATTTAGCAGAAAAGGTATTCTACAAGAAAACATGTAGTCCCTGTTCATGTAAATTCCAATAAGATGGGCTCTTCCATCCCCAAACTGATCTGCCCATATCCCAAACTAAAAGTAAAAAGAGAAAATTATTCATGTTTATTAAACTTTAAAGTGTTTACTGTAATCTTATATTCAAAATTTCTTTGTCAAATGATACTGAAACAGTGTATTTTTAAGATTATAATAATCAACAACCTGAATAAAGGTGAAAACAAAATTCAATCCATAAGTTAAATTCATTTAAAAAATATAAATTTAAGACATATAATTAATTTCTTCATTATTTTATAGCTGAGCTCAAGCTTGTTTGGGGTAGAATACTGACAACTGACCTATTTAATTCCAGAATGTGAACTAGGAACAACTGTCAGTAGAAAATTTCCCTGTACTATACATATACAATATAAAACCAGGAACATACTGTACCTGGAAAAAACTGCTTTTGAATGGACATGATTAACTGTTTCCAGATTTTTGCATTCAGATTTGTTTGTGGTTGTTCAACTCCCGGCTATGCCACTTACTAGTTGTGGAAATTTGTTTGTTACTTAATCTTGGTGAGACTGACTTTTCACTTACATAAAATGGGAAAACCCTGGCCAGATTGTTGTAAGAATGAATGTTAATATATGAAAAATGTCTTGCACCATGTCCAACACACCCAAGTGCTCAAAAGATGGTAATTATTATTATTGCTAATGGTTACTTGCTAAATTAAAGATCACCCTATTTTCTTAATCAAACTCACAAGCAAGTCACAGCAATTTCAACAATCGGTTCTGATTCCTCCTTTTTTTTTTAGATCAGTCAGATTCCACACCTTGAACTTGCTTCAACATCTTGCTTTACTTCTGGAAGGCAACGTTAGTATAAAGCAACAGGTTTGCTTTACTTCTACTTGCTTCCTCCTGTGCAGCATCCCCCGTCCATCCCGATTTAATTTCTACCCTTTTCTATTAAAAGTTCTAAAACTTTGCTCTACAGCTATTCTGGCAAGTTCATATTTGTCCTTCTGAGGCTTTTATATTGATGCATCAGGCGACCTGACTTTGCTTAAATCTCTTGCCAAAAACTCCACAGAATGATTTTTTTTAGCAGTAATTCACAGAGCTATTATCTTGTGCGGCCTGAATTTCCTGAGTTCCATCAGAGAAACTTAAAAAATCACATCAGCTAATGCATATAAACATTTCATGACACATTCTTCTAGAAACATCTTGGTGAAGTTTCAATATACTAATATTAGAGAAATTAATGCAAGGAGAAGGAAATGGCAACCCATTTCAGTATTCTTGCTGGGAGAATCCCATGGATGAAGAAGCCTGGGGGGCTATAGTTCATGGGGTTGGAGAGGGTTGGACACAACTGAAGTGACTTAGCATGCATGCACTTCTGTAATGGGATAGCATTTCCACCAGCTGCTTATATTTGCATAAGGAAGTGATACTGGTGCTATTTTTTTTAATTAATTAATTTATTTGGCTGTGCCAGGTCTTAAGCACTCGGGATATTCAATGTGTTGTGGCATGCAGAATCTTTTAGCTGTGGCATGTGGGATCTAGTTCCCTGAGAAGGCTTTGAACCTGGGCCCCCTGCATTGGGAGTGCTGAGTCTTAGCCAGTGGACCACCAGGAGAGTCCTGGTGCTATTCTTACCTGGTGGCCGCCATATCTGTGAGCCAATGGAGTGGATCCAAATACTATCTTTCTACCACTTACAAGCTGGATAAAATCATCTGTTTCTGAGACAGATAAATCAAGGTCCAAAATATCTTCCAGCACTTCCTGAGGCAGGGAAAAAAACAAACAACAAAAAACTTCTTACAAACTTAAGTAATCCTTTGATAGTTTTTGAGAAAATAAACTTTATGGAAGAAGGAAAATTAAAAGAATAAACTTCTTACAAAATTACATTAATATCTTACCAGAAGAGACATACCATACTTTCTAAGATTATTTACGCTACTTTGGAAAATTAGTTCTATTAGATAGTTCTAAAATTTTTGTGGATTTCTTATTATGCATGGTAAAATAATATTCTTCCTAGCACATATTCTTTCAAGGAAGTAGAAAAAAGTAAATGTCCTATCTTTTTTAATCTCAAATTCATTTATATCTTGAGAGAACAATTTAGAATTTGTTATTAGAGCCCCTTTCTAAGAATTTAACTCATTTACCTCTTTTTTTTTTTTTTTTTCACAAAAGTGTGTTTTCCTTATAAGATAATTTTAAAATGAAACTGAGTTCTAATCCCAGGAATAAGTATAAAAAAGTGATTTCTAAGAATGACATTCTCCAAGTTATAAAGTTTAAACACAAATCATTTATCAATAGACTAACAAGTTAACTATGAAAAAAGTTACTAATTTTTTAGACAAAATTATAGTGAGTTAAGTATTTGTGCTGTGAAGAAGTAAAGCCTAACCTTTGAAACTGCTACAAGACGTACTCTTGATTGGAAAGGAGTAGAGAAGGCAATTGAAAAAACAGTTTTTCACTTTATGCACATTATTTTCTTTAACAGGATCAGTTGGCAACACAGCTGATAAAAAAAAAAGGACCTTCTTAATGTTCTCATTTGTTGCATATACAGCATTAACAATCCTTAGAAAGGCTACAGTTCTTCAAGAAAATCGACTTAAACTACTATTTTGTTCACATTTTGCTATTTAAAGCTATCCTATTATTTTCAACCATTTTCTGATCCCAATCTCATGAGAAACTTCAAAACATTTGATACATGCCTGTTCACAATGCTAGAAATTTAAAAATTGCCTCTAAATAGACATGTTTCATAAGGTCCATACACTAAAGTACATATTTTAAAAGCTGTAGAGGAAAAAGGAGAGCTTTGAACATGTTTACTTTTAAGTATAATTCTTAAAACTTTAATGTTTTCCTAATCTAAAGCAATTAAAACAAAAATATAAAAGAGACCAGGTGAATTACTAAAAGATATAAGAAACACAAAAATCTATGTTTCTGGATAAAGATATTATCAAGTTGTCACTGTCACCAAATTATTTACCAAACATTATGGAAATCCAATCAAAATCCTAGTAGAATTTCTTTTTTGAAGAAACAAAGTGTAAATATAGGAAAATAAAGACTTTTTTAAAAATAAGAGATGAGCTTATCATTTTCAAACTTATAAAAATATTGCTATCCCCAAAATAGATGCAATAATCAATGGGACTCCAAAACCACAGAAAAAGTAATGTAAGAGTTCCCTGTATAATGAAAATGATTATTTTGAATCTGTGGAGAAAGGTGGCATCAGGTTGATTTGCTAAACTGTTTGGAATACCTCCTATTTATTCCACCCAAGCCTAGGTGAACTAAATACCAGTTATAATAGAAACAAGAGAATTCTTGTATCTCCTCCATGGGAGTAAAAAACAGGCAAATGTGGGTCAGATTTAGGTTTTCATAGTTTTCCCTAAGTACATGGTGAATAAGGCAGCATCGTGGGGAATTATCCACCAAGAAAACCTCTGACTAGTAGTAGATGATCCAAAAGCTTGTTCCTGCTAGGAGAGCCACTGTGTGGAAATAGGCTAAATTATATAATAAAGGCATTTTCTTTTATGGTGCTATACAATTTCAGTAGCTCGTGGCAAGTATATGATATTTAACTGATAGTTATGATTTTGTACTGATGGACTCAAACTTTGGCAAGGTAGTTCAGCTAATACCTGTGATCATTGACCATGGAATAAAGACTGCTTCACAGGCACCCAGTCCTCACCCTTATTACATTTAGCCAACTCATCAGTCAGAGACCAAGACCCAGCAAAAATTCCAAATATATGTTAACCCTTTTTGGAGAAATTGGTAATAGAAGTAAGGGTATCGTTCCAATTCTTCAGAATTCAGTGGGGCCTCGGAATATGAAATGCACAAAAATTGCTAACCTTTCAGTGCAACTATGTTTGAACCACTTCTCTCAGTAAATGTTCTTATCACAGTTATATTGATAATTTTATCAGTTATCAAATAACCTCAAAATGAGGTATTTCTATGCAGTACTATGAAATAAGACATGGTTAATACATATATAACATTTTATATATAATCCTTCCTCGGCTGTAAAACCTAGTCCTATCTAGTGTTATGAACAGTATCTTCATGATGGAAATGTAGCCAATGCTGCAATATCAAAATAACTTTGAAAATGCTTTTAGCAATACACTTATTCCATTTTTATCAGTGTTGCTAGTTGTTTCTTTTGTTTAAATGCAGTGAAAAAGACTGCACAAAAGGAGTCTCTTCTTTGGCAGTTAATTGCTCAGCATAGACAGTGTGTTAACTTCCTAGACTCATGCTTAACTTAGTTGGGTCAGAAGAATTACTTTGTATTCTCTGGTGTCCAGTTGGTGGGTTATTGTTCATCAGAAGTTTATTTATAATGTTGGAGGCCTTGACTAATTTCAGCTGCTTTCCCTACTTAGCTTTGCCATTACTACATCTTTGTAAGAGCCAGGTTGTTGCTTTAATCTGGCAAACAATGTCTCAATGAAAATAGCTTAACAGAATCATGCAGAGCCCTGCTTTACCAACTATGTGAGCTTGGGCAAGACACTTAATTGCTTTACATCTGTCTCCCTATCTAGAAAAAAGGGCAAAGGATACTATTTGAAGCCACAGGATTGTTGCAAGTTCAAAGGTTTACTGCAACTCTATTTTGGCAAATTCTACCTGTTGGTTATTTCTTAATATGTAAACCTAGACCAAGATAAGCCACCAGGTGCATAATAACAACCTTAATCTAAAGCACCTGACACATTTTTTACATAATTTTCAATATTGGAGTGGAGGAACACCTCAATAAAATGGACATTAAAAAATTGTATTATATTCTTTTATTCAGTTGAAAAAACACTTTGAAGATAAATCTAAAAATACTGTGCTCAGCTATTTGGGTACTTATGTTTTTTTAAGTGCAAAATGCATGTGCAAAATGCATGGGTGAGAAGAACAAGAAAAAAATATCAGAGAATCACAGTTGTCTGCTTGCTGGTCTGTTTTCTAATAGGAGAGTTGTTTTTTGTTTCTTTTTGAGGAGGACACAGCAAGTTTCTATTTCTGTATCCCTGATGCTTACACTGTCTCTGATCAACTTTGTGGGTTTATGTGCTTGTGTTGATTGATTAATTATATCACAACTTCTGTTATAAAGGCTCAGACGGTAAAGAATCTGCCTATGCGGGAGACCTGGGTTCGATCCCTGGGTGGGGAAGATCCTCAGGCGAAGAGAATGGCTACCCACTCCAGTATTCTTGCCTGGAGAATTCCATGGACAGAAGAACCTGGAGGTCTACAGTCCAAAGACGCCCTGTCAGTACCATGACAAGAATAGATGTGGACATATGATTAAGAAAAGGACTCTCTAACCTTTCTCGGGTATTAGTCTTGTCCATTCTCCAGTATCCCCTGGGTGGTTACAAGTAGCTTCAACATTATCAAATAGGAAACACACAACTCAGTACACGCACGCGCGGGACTCACATATCCAGATGTGAGCAAGACCGCCAAACTAGACCACGATATATCTATGAGGTTTTCAGAGGAGAGAGTCTAGAAGTCGAGAAACGAAGCTAATCTAGCTCCTCTTTCACAATAGCTCTGCTCGGGGTTTGACCTGTTCCTGGAAAGATGCGAAAGGTTGGCATTTCCTTGCAAGCTAGGTCTCCATAAAGAACCAACAACGGCGTGGCAAGCGACGCCCAAGAGAAGCAGCGGCGGAAACTGGAGCCTCCAAATTAGGCAGCAAAACGGGAACCCGATCCTCTGCGTCCTATTTCCGCCTAAAAACGCAGAAGGAAAGTTAAGGACTGTTCGTCGGGCGCCCTGTAGCATTTCCAGGGGACAGCTGGTTTCCGCCAGGGGTAGATTTTGGCGGTGACTGCCGGAGGCACAGGCTGGACGGGGTCGGGAGAGGCCGCTTCCCGGGAGGAAGATCCCACTGGCTTCTCCCGGGCCGGCGGCCGGCGGAGGTACGAAGGGTCCAGCCGCCGCGGAGTAACCTTTGTGGCCACCCCTCCAGCTCTCCAGCTAGACAGTCCTCCATAAGGAGAGCGAAACAGCGGGGCGTGCGACGCCAAGCTCTTCCGGTGCCAGACTTCTGGCTCCGGGTCATGGGAGGAGGGGCCGCCGGGCCAGAGGCGGAGCCGCAGCCCTGCCGCGACTTTCAGACTCGGACCATGGCCTCGTGCTGGTGGCGGTGGCGGTGGCGGTGGCGGCGCGGCTGCTCTTGGAGGCCGGCGGCGCGGAGCCCCGGGCCCAACTCCGCAGGCCGCGCGGCACTCTCTGCGCCGCGGGCTGCCGCCGCCGCTGCCACTGTCTACGTCGCCCGCGCGCAGGTGAGGTCGGGGAGCGCACGCCGCGGCCGGCCGCAGAGGTCACGGCGCCAATGACAGCGGCGCCGGGGAATGAATGGGGCGCAGGCTGCACGCTTGGCGGGCGGGGACCGTGGGGTCGCGCTGGGATGCAACCCTGAGTTGGCGGGGCTCCGAGGATGGGACCGAGCAGAGGGGTGGGCGCCCGGCGTCCGCCTGAAATGGGGGTGTCCCGCGCGCGGCTGCAGAGCGGTGTTCTGGGACCGGGGAGCCTCTTGGGTGTCAGAAAGGGGCGACGAGGAGCCGGGTCCAGGGCATCGCAGGTGTGGCCCAATTTTCTCCTGGAGTCTGTGTCAAGTGTGGAGAGCGTCTGCAGGTGTTTCCTTTCGAGTTAACAGTCAAGGCTTCGGGGGCAACCGCACTTAATTGGGATTTAAGGGCCAAAGGTGCTCTGAGCGCTCAGAGGTGCGGGGGGCCGGGGTAGCCTCGGAATAGGTCTCGTGGAGAACGCGGGGCTGATGCTCAGAGTGAACAGGAGATCGGTTGTGCGGTAGTTGCTTCGGAGGGAGGGCACAACTGAACGGGCTGGAAGAAGAGGCCCAAGGGTGTCGTAGAAGTGGAGAAACCTTGATGTTGAAGTCTGACTTCTCGAAGTAGAGTCGGAGTCTGAGTACTAACCGTGGACTCTGGTGTTCTCTCCTGCTGCCTTTGGACCCCATCTCTTTTTTCTCTCTTTGTAGTCAGTTCAGCTTCTGTGTGTTGACAAGTTTCTGGCTCTCTGAATCCTGTTCTGCACTCTAGTGATTAACTTGCTGTAGGCTAAGCTCGTATTGGATAGTATAACCACGCAAGATGGATGGATTCACTGTCTTTTGGAGACTTCTCCTGTCACATAGTAATTGTTAAGTGTTTGCTTCTCATCTGCAAGGCTTATTTTTTTAAAAAAGTTTATCTCCCAGTATGAAATACATAGCATTTCTAAGTGTCTGCTTTTGGATGCATATGGATGCATATATCACAACTTATTCAGAACAGACACTTGAAGAGAGAATGGCAGTTGGGCTGGTCCCCGGAAGAGACAGTAAAGAGAGAATATGGGGAATAGAGAGACTGTGGGATCCGTGTAGGTGCTGTCCTAGCCAGGCTTCAGATATTCCTAGTACTGAAATAGGATGTTACTTGCAGAGAGGGATGCACCCACCACTGATGACATAGATTCTTCTTTGATGCTCCTGTTTTTAAAAAAAAAAATCCATGCCCATTAAGCAATTATCTTAGCTACACAAAGGGTGCTTTCCTGGAGAGAATTGTTGGAGGAGCTTTGCCGATAATGCCAGTTCTGTATATCTCTCTTTTTTATTCATTTTACTTATTTATTTATTTATTTATTGGCTGTGCTGGATCTTGCTGCGTGGGCTTTTCTCTAATTGCAGCGAGCGGGGACCACTCTCCAGCTGTAGTGCATTGGCTTCTCTTTGTGGAGCACGGGCTCTGGGGCGTAAAGGCTTCGGTTGTTTCGTCACGTGGGCTCAGTAGTTGGTCTCCCTGGCTCTAGAGCACAGGCTCAATAATTGTAGCACGTGGGCTTCGTTGCTCCCCAGCATGTGGAATCTTTGGGACCAGGGATCGAACTCGTGTCTCCTGCATTGGCAGGCAAATTCTTTTAACTCTGAGCCACCAGGGAAACCCCAATACCGTCTCTTTCTGATTTTTGTGTCAGTGGTATTTTTCACTGTAAATCACTCTGGTGTCTGCCTTAGGAGAGGGTGTGTTCTGGCCAGTTCAAGCCTCTCAGGGCCTGAAGGCCCTTGGGGACAAAGTGCAGCAACGGTGAAGCCCCGCCGGGCTCTCCCAGCAAAACTCCACTCTTAACTCCAGTTTGTACGTTCTCTCAACCTCTTCACTGGGAGTGTTCACCTACCTTGTGATAGGGCAAAAACCAGGGTGTGTCTGATTGTGCCAAATCACTGGTATGTCTTGATTCTTACTCAGCCTTTTTTTTTTTTTTTTTTTTTTAAAGTAACTTCATGGGAGGCAAGTTGAATTTCAGGGGAGAGTATGAGATGGAAAGAGAAAATCAGATTTTGGGAGATGGTTGATGTTTGCAGTAGTCATGGCCCCTAGGTGGCCCCGGTTCCACAACACCCTTTTAATACAGCTCTTCTGTGTTATCTCTAACCTCACTTCACAAAACCTCAGCCGAAGATAGCTTGGCTGATAGCTTGGCTGAATACATCCTATAAATGTTCAAAGCTAGGAGCTTTACCTGTAATTGCTCAATTAGTCCTAGCACCTTTGCCATAGATTTTATCAGAAAGCTGTCTCAAGGTAACTAGTAGGAAATGTTGGGATTTGAGCCAAAATCCACCTTCTGGGCTTTAAAACAAGTTACACGTTGCTCAGTGATTACGAGCCCTCTGTGCTAGCTGTGTAGTTTTAACTCTTCACTGCACTTAGAGATTAGGTTTCAAATTGAATAAGTATTATAATAAATACTAAATTCATGTGAATTATTTACGTGCGAAGTCTGAAGAAGTAGGTTAAGTGTCACGTTGGGTTGAATTCAAAGGAGGTTTGTTAGTTTTTTTCTTTAGGACATTGTAATGCCTGGGACGTCATTAATGGATTTGTAATGCCACGGGGAAGATACAACTCTGGGCCACCTTCTTCGACCACTGCCTGCCAGGCAAAGTCAGCGTTTATTATCATTTTATTTTATTTACTTTTTAAAAGAGTGGGCCATTTAAAAAATTATTTGACTGCCTTGGGTCTTAGTTGAAACACATTGAATCCTTCCTTGCAACATAGGGAGGATGCCTTGCTTCAAGGTGTGTTGGATCCTGGTTCCCTGATGAGGGATCGAACCCACATGCCCTGCATTGCCAGGTGGATTCTCCCCCACTTTTCCACCAAGGAAATCCCTATTGTCATTTTAATACGTCTAAAGCAGTGTGTGTTCACTCGAGAAAACTCAGAAAATGTGAATTAAAAACGTAAAGCAACAAAACTCCCATGATCTGATTTATTCCAAAATAACCATTTTTAATACCTCCCTTATATGCTTCCAAACCCTGGGTTTTATTTGTATAGTTATACAAAATTTTTGGTGGACTCACATAGTGCACAGTGTTCTGTAGGTGCTTTTTTCTTTTGATGTGTTGTAAACATATCCATATTATCAGTTTTTCAGACTTTTCTGAATTTCAAGTTCCCTGGCTATATAACACGTAGTTGTCAGAGTTGAGCCCACATCGTAGGACGTTATTGTAAAGTCTTGGTTGTAAGACCAATACAGTGGATTCGTTTTCTCCTTGCTAGTGTTAAGTCTGTCCTTGGTCAAAATATTTTCTTTAAATATCCTATAAGAGTCCTTCCTACACCAGATTAGTAGTTTTTGAAATGCCTGTGTCCCTGAATTCTTCAAGTTTGGCTGCTGTACCCCTGGGTCACCAGTGCCTGTCACATTTGCTGGCCCGTAATAGTGCTCAGCAATTGTTGTCTGTCGTCACCACAACCTCAGTCTCCTCCAAGCCATCTTCTGTTGTTCTTGATCTCTGATTAAGTTAGTATTATCAAAATGTGCTGCTGAGCTTGTTTGTTAACACTACTTTTCAAGAAGTACCATTCCCAAGTATATTCAGGAACGGTGGCTTGACATAGGCAGTGTTTGTGTAACTAAATTTCTCAACCCTGAAATCCTCTTTCACTGTCTGGGCAGGTGCTTTGGGGATCTTGATTATTGTCTTAAACCAATTTAAGATTTTAAGAGTGTAAGCCACACTAATCCTTACTACTCTCTGCCCAGTGTTAGTTAAATGGAAGGGAATTTCAGATCTGGAAAGACAGGTATAAATGTGGAGCAGTCTTTGGGGGAAGGGATAGATTATAGATGTTTTCTATTTCCTGCTTTTTTTCATGTTTATATTTTCTGTAATGACAGATACTGCTTTTGTAATATGGAGGGGAAACATCATTTTTTCTGAAGTTTGCAGTCTCTAAATGGACAACTATAAGATAAAATATTACTATTTTTTATAAATTACAGGAATTCTTATTTAGTGTTATAAAAGTTTTTCATGAATATTCTCTTAGAAGTTTCTTAATATTTTATTTTATAGATGTCCTGTTGTAATCTTATGAAGAGTTTAACATCTGCCTTTCCAAATATGTATCGTGGATCACGGTAAGTTTATTATCCGTATTGCAGCTAAAATTATTAGTCATATATGTTGCCAGTAAATGTCTATTCTAAATTGTGGTGGGCTGTTCAGTTCAGGAAATTGAATGTGCTATTTAAGTGTCATAATACCTGCTTTATGTGATCTTGGTCTTCTTAAAAAAAAAACAACAGTCATCCATTGGTGGGGCGGGGGAAGGAGGGGACATTGGTTCTAGAGCACTCTCACCTCAGATACCAAAATTAGGGATGCTCAAGTCCTTTATTGAAGAAGGCAATGGCACCCCACTCCAGTACTCTTGCCTGGAAAATCCCATGGATGGAGGAGCCTGGTAGGCTACAGTCCATGGGGTCTCGAAGAGTTGGACACGACTGAGCGACTTCACTTTCACTTTTCACTTTCATGCACTGGAGAAGGAAATGGCAACCTACTCCAGTGTTCTTGCCTGGAGAATCCTAGGGATGGCGGAGTCTGGTGGGCTGCCGTCTGTGGGGTCGCCCAGAGTCGGACACAGCTGAAGCGACTTAGCAGCAGCAGCAACAGCAATTCCTTTATATAAAATGGCATAATATTTGCATATAACCTACACACATCATCTCTTATACTTTGTCATTTTTAGATGACTTATAATACCTAATATAAATGCTATGCAAACAGTTGCCTGAGCATGGTAAATTCGAATTTTGCTTTTTGAAACTTTCTGGAATTAAAATACACACACACACACACACACACACACACACACATTTTTCAATATGAGGTTGTTTGAATCCAAAGATGTAGAACCCGTAGATACAGAGGCCCAACTGTATAATAGAATGTAAACTTGGACTTCTCTGGTAGCTCAGGGTAAAGAATCTGCCTGATTCAATCCCTGATTGGGGAAGATCCCATATGCCTCAGAGCAACTAAGCCATGAGCCAGAAGTTTTGAGCCAGCGCCCTAGAGCCCAGAAGCTGAAACTAATGAACCTTTGTGCTGCAGCTACTGAAGCCGGTGAAGCCGGTGAAGCCGGTGTACCCTAGAGCTCATGCTCTGCAGCAAGAGAAGCCACTGCAATGAGAACCTGATACATTGCAACTAGAGAAAAGCCCTCACAGCAATTGAAGACCCAGCACAGACCCCCCCTCAAAAAAGAAAATCTGACCTTTAAAAAAATGTTTACACTCAGAACACAGTGAATGTGATTTATATTTCTTTTGACTTTGTGGTTCCCTAGGTCCTGGTTATGAAAATTGATGTAGTATTGAGCAGAATCAGAATTCTATATGATCTTTGAAATTATAATGAGCTTTTTGCATTCATGCTTAATTCCCAGAAAGTATCTAGGCTTAAATTTTCCATCCTCCAGCTCAGTTACATATATGTGTATATGCATAGGTCTGTATAATTCTTACTTAAAAATGAAGTAACTCGGTAAAACAGCGACCAGTCTTCCATTGTGTGCGTTTCTGCTTAGGTTCCATCACGTGACGCCGGTAGCTTGCTGCTACAGTAAGACACAGAGCGGTGAGAAATACAGCGACCCTTTTAAGCTTGGCTGGAGAGACTTGAAAGGTCTCTATGAGGACATCAGGAAGGTAAGAGATCTTTGATGATACTCTGAAGTGAGGTTGATTTCTTTGAATTACGAAAAAACAGTGCAGGTTTCCCCATGGGTGGCATGCCGTTGCAGACGTGATTCCCAAATGTCTGGTTTTAAATGTTTCTTGAGCAGTGAGTATGGGGCAGTATGGAAGATGTGATACACGTCACCACCCAGAGGCAGGAATGGGAGGCAGGTTCAGGCCACAAGTGCACGTCCACAGAGTCCTCTGACTCTTTCCCCTCAGGTTGGTCGCCTGCACCAGGCCTGGGGCAGCTCTGAAGCCTCCCACGCCTGCTGCCACTGTCCTCCCCTCTGATTCTGAATATCAGTGCCCCAGACAGGGCTTTCTTCATCAAGCATTCTGTTCCCCAAGCCTTCAGTGGCCCCCAGCCTCACGTGGAGTCCCCTCTGCTGCCCAAGATGCTCAGGTGCCCCTGGTCAGCTTACTCCCCGTTTCAAGGTTCTGCGTTTACCCCCTTCAGCCCCCGCCCCACTCTCCTGTCTCCACGCCTCCACCGCTTCCAGTCCTCGGAACCACGCAGAAGCTGTGGAGGACGAGCTCCCTGCACGCCCGCTCTGGGCCCGTTACAGTCCCGCCACGGCTGTAGCCTGCCTCCTCCAGTGTCGTCCCTGTGTCTCTGATTAAGTGTCATGCCCTTTGCCTCCCCCTTGGGGCCCTAGGTTTTCTCCCCCAAGTCCCTGTTCTCCATGTTTGTCTGCAGACTTGCCCTCCTCATTCTCTTCTGGATCCATTTCAGATGCTCCAGCTTCTTCCTGTTCATCTTGTAAAGGACCATCCCATCACCCTGTGTCCTCCCGGTTCCATTCCAGTATTCCCAGCCTTTCTCTGTCTGTTCTGCCCCTTCACCACGGCTCCACCACCGCCCTTTGCCTTCCTATCCAGCCTCTCACCTGAAACTGCCTTTGCCCGCTTCTACTAAATCCAACAGGCCATGCTGGCTTGTATCTTCCAGACTCTCTGAACGCTGGACCGTGTTCACCACAGCCCTTCTGTGAAGCCGGCCCTTGGCTTCTGCACTGTCCCTGTGCTCCTCAGGCCATCCGTCAGTCGGCTTCCGGGGCTCCTCTCTGTCCCCTCCAGCCCACCCACTTGGATGTTGCCGTTCCCTGGGGTCATTTGCTCCTCTGCTCCGTCTTCAGTTTACCCGTTTCCGTGCTCAAGACTCCCTTGTAGAGGCCCTGGCCTAGAATGAACATTCTCTCCTAAACTCTGCCTGCTCCCTGGGCAGCGCTATGGAGTTGTCCATCACTGGCTCACACTGGCAGATCCGAAGCTCCGCTCCTTCCTACGAGTTGTTTTTTCTCTCGTTTATCCTGTTGATGCGAGGTTGTCACCCCAGACCTTGGGAAGGACCCTCGACTCGGCCCTCTCCTTCCCCTCCACACCCTCCTCATCGCATCTCTCTCTCTTTTGAAAGTTGTTTTTATTTATTTTTGGTTGTGCTGGATCTTGGTTGCTGCGCGAGGGTTTGTCTCTAGTTGCGGCAAGCGGGGTGCTACTCTCGAGTTGGAGCACCCAGGCTTTTCACCGTGGTGATTCCTCTTGCAGACCTGGGCCCTAGGTGCACAGGCTCCTGTGGTTCTCAGGCTTAGCTGCTCCGCGGCACGTGGGACCTTCCCGGACCAGGGATCGGACCGGTGTCGCTGGCACTGGCAGGCAGGTTCTTACCCGCCGGACCCTCAGGAAGTCCCGCGTCGGTATCTGGCCTTCAGTCGCCAGCCCTGGGTTTCCGTCACCCCCCGCCCCTGCCCTCGCCCCCCCGGCCTCGGGCTGAGCCAGAGGTGCCTCCTGTGTGCTCCCAGCGCAGCCCTCAAGTCCAGGACCGGAGTCCTCACCCCGCCACGCTCCACTGCAGTCCTGTTTCCCTTCCCCGGCCTAGACTCTGAGCTCCCTGTAGACCGGAGATTGTCCCGTTTATCTCGGAAGCCTCTGCGTTTATTATCGCCCTTGGCCCCGAGGAGGGAGTGCCGGGCCTGCTGGATCGTGTGCGCTTGAGCCCCGTGAGGGGCTGCCGGGCCCGTTTGTTGCTCCTGGACACAAGCTCTTGATTCTTCCCAGCAAGTCCCTGAGGGAAGAGACAGGAGACCCACGTGCCCAACCCCAGGACAGCTCTCCCTCCTCTTAGGAAGCAAAATCCTCCTTAGCCTCTGTTCCCAGGCAAAGCTTGTCTCCTCCATGAAGTGCTCGGTTTTTCTCGTCCACACTGATTGCTCCATTCTTTGAACCTTAATGCATTTAACATACGGCCATTATTCAAGTTGCCACCATATCATTCACTGAATTCATATTTTAAAACATTTTGCTTCCCTAATGGCATCGTAGGAGAAGGCAATGGCACCCCACTCCAGTACTATTGCCTGGAAAATCCCATGGACGGGGGAGCCTGGTAGGCTGCAGTCCGTGTGGTCGCTAAGAGTCAGACACGACTGAGCGACTTCACTCTCACTTTTCACTTTCATGCATTGGAGAAGGAAATGGCAACCCAACTCCAGTGTTCTTGCCTAGAGAATCCCAGGGACGGGGGAGCCCGGTGGGCTGCTGTCTATGGGGTCGCACAGAGTCAGACAGACTGAAGCGACTTCGCGGCAGCAGCAGCAACAATGCCATCGTAAGCTCCTTGCAATCATGTATAGCTTTTGTTGCACACTTTCCCCGTGAACCTTTGGCTTGTGCGGCTGAGAAATGCCTGAGCCAGACTCTGATGCCGCCCTCACCTCTTCTCATCTCGTCTGCCACCCCTGCCCTTCTGCTTCACTGGCTCCCACACTCCGCCTCTTTGTCCTCCTGCCTCCGTCCTCCAGGCTGCGAGCAGCCCTGTTTCTCTCCGTCACCAGCCGTCTGGCGCCCCCTGCCACCGTCACTCAGAGTCTCCACCAGCGGCAGGCCCCCAGCACCCCGGCCCCTGGCGGGGGGCGGCCAGATGCTGCTTGCGGCCACACGGTGTTGGCACCTCTTCCCGCCGAGTGTTGGGTTTCCCCGTTGAAATGAATGCACTAAGATCAAAGCTGTGTGAAAAAAATTCCACTGACGTTTTGTGTAGTTATGCTGCCCTGTTGACGCAGAGAAACTTTGTTTCAGGAACTCTTCATCTCTACAGCAGAACTCAAGGAAATGTCTGAATACTACTTCGATGGAAAAGGAAAAGCCTTTCGACCAATTATCGTGGTGCTAATGGCCCGAGCCTGTAACATTCATCATAATAACTCCCGGTGGGTTATTTACTTTGTCTCCTCTGTTCTCTATTTGGCAAACCTTCCTTCCCAAGGTTACCATTTATTTTCTTGTTTAACTAGTACCTTGTGTCTGCGAACTCGCTTTGTGGTGGGCAATTTCCAGCTTTGTGTTCCCAAGGTCACCCTGGAGTCTAGTCTGGGCATCTTCCTTTTCCACACTTTTTAATATCCATGGAAGAACAACTTCAGCACCAAATAAGCATTTTAGAAAGAATTTTCAAGGCTACATTGAGTTTTCTCATGCAGAAGTAAAGAATGCCAGCATGTGTGCATTTGTAACTGTGGTACACACAGGGCCATTATTCCGAAGGTTGATGGTTATAAAGTCATGAGTTAGGCCCAGATTCTGGCCACCACATCCCCTGCAGGACCTGACTTCCTGCGGCCTTCAGAAACATGCCAAAGAAAATTTTTCTTAAAAGAAGGCATTTTGACTTTTGGCCTTCAATTTCTCTGTTGCAAATAAAAATGTAAAATTTTAACTATTAAAACAACTGCTATGTTTTAATATGAAGGAAACCTTGAAATGAAAGAGGACTTACCCATTGCCATTATTCTTGAAACTCTTTGTTAACTGGAGTGTCTTCACTGTGTTTGTTTCTGCATCGTGCAGTCTGCTGAGGACACTCCAGTGGACCCTAGTGTACTGGCACGTTTGCTGGTGTTGAATGTCTGCACTCTGCTCCCTTTATCTGTAGATAGCTCAAGAAAAGATGCAGACCTTAGGGAGGGCCTAAGGTTTGCCATGCTGGGAAAGACCAAAGACAGGAGAAGAGGATGACGGACGGTGAGTGGTTGGATGTTATCACCCAGAGTTCAGTGGATATGAACTTGGGCAAACTCTGGGAGATGGTGAGGGACAGGGAGGCCTAGCGTGATGCCGTCCATAGGGTCGCGACGAGTCGAACAAGACTTGGCAACTGAATAACAGCAGCAAAGCTTTGCCAGCACCAAATTTAAGGATGTTGTAAGGGTGGGCGTCAGGTGTTGCTTCTTAGCATACGCTGTGCCGCTCCAGCTCCAGGACAGGACTCTGCTCAGGGGCACCTCCCATTTGTTCTGAGACTTTCTAAGTGCTCACAGGTGAGCCTCAACAAGCAGCGGGACCTCTGGGGGCGGCTGTTTTCCCATCATCAGGACCACTTCACCTAGAAGGCAGAGCAGCAGAAATGCTCCCTCTGAACCATACTTGAAATTCCTCTCATGAGGTCTGGAACTGGGTTCCTCAGCCTTGCCTCTGCTGACATTTGGGGCCAGCACAGAGTCGGACACGACTGAAGTGACTTAGCAGCAGCAGCAATCCTTTGCTATGGGGACTGTTCTGGGTCTTGTAGGGCATTTGGCAGCTGTACCTGGCCTCCATCCATTAGATACCAGTGGTACCCCTTCCCCAGTCGATGACAACTGAAAAATGTCTCCAGACAATGCCAGGTGTCCCTTGAGCAGAATCGTCCCTGGTTGAGAACCTCTGGTCTAGAGATAGTGTTTATATCTTTAATGCCTCAGATTAACATCTGATACAGCCCATTACCCTCAGAGATGACATGAGAAGGAAAGTGTTCTGCGTTGCTTGCTTTAAATCCTGTCAGCTGTTACCCCATTGTCAGAGCCTTCAGTCTATGTCATTGAAACTGTAGAAATTATTGGTTTGCAAGAATAAATGGAGAACTATGATACAGAAAAGGCATTGCTGGTTTGAAAAGTGAAGTTCCATTCTGCCTTCCCTGGGGATATCCTGGCTCCAGCTTCATTCTCCCCGTGGTGGGAGCAGGGCTTACTGAAGACTCAGCACAGAGCTGCGTCCAGCATTGAGATGTGCGTCGTGACTGGTGTGCATTCTGCTGGCACAGTTGCCTAGCACGATTACTCTCCAAGTCCCAACTTCTTGGGAAGACTCACTTCCTAAGGACCCTCGTGGATCAGGCACTTAATGGACCGGGTGTCTTCCCACTTAAAGCGGGAGCAGGTCGGAAGCAGGAGGAGAGCCAGGGCCGTCTGTGGTTTTGCTGTAAGAGGTTTATTAGAACAGTGTGAGCAAAGGTGGCTGAAGATCCTGGGCGGGGCGCCACAGGCGTGTTTGCAGCGGAGGCCCCAGAACCTGTTCACCTCTTGAACTGCCTCCTTGTCAGTGTCGGCAGAATTGCTTCACCATTTGACAGTCAAAGTTGAATGGCTCCTCTAAGGCTTGTCAGACATCTTCATCCTACTTCTGTGTATTAAATAAGTTAAGGGTAGTCCTGGAGGGGACTTTAGAAAACAAAATAGAAACCTTAAGAAATGGGGGGAAAATGACCTTCTGTTGCTTTATTTTTTTCCTTCATTAAGCTTTTTCACTTGTCCATTATACATTCCCTACTAGATTGTTGATAATTCTTAACCTGAGGTCCATGGACGTTGGGGGGGGGGGGGGCCTGTGAGCCCCTGGAAATCATATGCAAAATTTGTACGTTTGCATTTTTCTAGGGAAAGTTAGTTCAGTTCAGTTGCTCAGTCACGTCCAACTCTTTGCAACCTCACGGACTGCAGCACACCAGGCCTCCGTGTCCATCCACAACTCCCGGAGCCTGCTCAAACTCATGTCCATTAAGTCGGTGATGCCATCCAACCATCTCATCCTCTGTCATCCCCTTCTCCTCCTGCCTTCAGTCTTTCCCAGCATCGTGGTCTTTTCCAAGGAATCAGTTCTTTACATCAGGTGGCCACAGTATTGGAGCTTCAGGTCAGTCCTTCCAAAGAATATTCAGAACTGATTTCCTTTAGGATGGACTGGTTGGATCTCCTTGCAGTCCAAGGAACTCTCAAGAGTCTTCTCCAACATCACAGTTCAAAGGCATCAATTCTTCGGTGCTCAGCTTTCTTTATGGTCCAACTCTCACATCCATACATGACTACTGGAAAAACCATAGCTTTGACTAGACGGACCTTTGTTGGCAAAGTAATGTCTCTACTTTTTAATATGCTGTCTAGGTTGGCCATGGCTTTTCTTCCAAGGAGCAAGCATCTTTTAATTTTGTAGCTGCAGTCACCATCTGCAGTGATTTTGGAGCCCAAGAAAATAAAGTCTGTCACTGTTTCCACTGTTTCCCTATCTATTGCCGTGAAGTGACAGGATCGGATGCCATGATATTCGTTTTTTGAATGTTGAGTTTCAATCCAGTTTTTTCACTCTCTTTCATTTTCATCAAGAGCTTCTTTAGTTCTTCACTTTCTGCCATAAGGGTGGTGTCATCTGCATATCTGAAGTTATTGATATTTCTCCTTCCAATCTTGATTCCAGCTTGTGCTTCAACCACCCCAGCATTTCACATGATGTACTCTGCACATAAGTTAAACAGGGTGATGTACTTCTCGACGTACTCCTTTCCCAGTATGGAATCAGTCTGCTGTTCCAAGTCCGGTTCTAACTGTTGCTTCTTGACCTGCATACAGATTTCTCAGGAGGCAGGTCAGGTGGTCTGGTATTCCCATTTCTTGAAGAATTTTCTACAGTTTATTGTGATCCACACAGTCAAAGGCTTTGGCATAGTCAATAAAGCAGTAGTAGATGTTTTCCTGGAATTTTCTTGCTTTTTCTGTGACCCAACAGATGTTGGCAATTTGATCTCTGGTTCCTCTGCCTTTTCTAAATATAAACCTTTTCCAAGGGAAAGTATACATGGCTTGTATTGTCAAAGGGTGGTGTGGCCCCAGAAGCTTAAGACTTAATCTTTAGTTTTCTTCTGTGTATCCTGGCAACAGCAGCACCTGGCCAGGTGCAGATAAGGAGACTTGAGCGTCCAGAATACAGAGCCGTGGTGGACTCCGAGCCATGTGCCCAGAGCCTGCCTTAAATGAAAAACCTTCTGCCCACGCCGCCAGAAAGCCTTTGCTTCTCGGGCTCCTCGAGAGCTGTCCCAGCAGCCGAGAGTCCTCTCACCTGAGCCCGTCCACATCCGGGGACTGGTCAATGAAGGGCCATCTAGCGCCGGGACACACGGTGAAATGGCAGCAGCTTCGGACCGGCCTGCCTCGCAGAAATCCCTTCCCCACCACACGTGCTCATCCCGGGGGTCCAGAGGAGACATCCTGTGCTCTGAACCTGAGAGTCTGCTTCCTGGAGCACTGCGCCCTCAAAAGGGTGCAGCAAAACCCAGCTAGCTACCTGTGAGTCAGAGCTCACTTGAACAGAGAATCCAGTTGAAAAACAAGCTCTGTGAGAAATAAGATTTCTGTGAAATGCTCTGCTTACTGACTATAGCACGATTAGTGTCTCCTCTCCAACAAGCCAAACCTGACCTCCTTAAATTTAAAGGTACCTGTTCTTACCATTGGTGTTGACATCACCTGTTTCTCTTGGAAGTCTTCCAGCTCTGGAGAGTGGATACCAGTACCAGTGACTGAGATAACAGGCCTCCTCCAGTTACTCAGGGCACGGATTTATGGATCGCGACTGTACAGGCAGTCAGGTGCCACTGAATCCTGTAGTGCACTTTGCAAAGCCAGACATTGGATTAGATAGAACAGATCTATGGTGCGGTTTTGGTTTTGGTTTTGTTTTTTTAATAACGCAGTCTTCACATTAGTTAACAGGTCAAGTTTCCAAATGTGATGAAAGTCTTTTTTTAGTTCTACCACTTTATTGCTACCAACCCGTCTCCCTCCACCCTCATGCACACAGGCTCGGTCATGCAATCCCATGGACTGCAGCCCGCCAGGCTCCTCTGTGCATGGACTTTTCCAGGCAAGAATACTGGAGTGGGTTGCCATTTCCTTCTCCTGAAAAAAGTCTTAAATTCAGTGGAGGTAACTTTTGTGATTCTCATGACAGCAAAGGAAATTACAAAAGCTTACTGTAAGAAAGCTGTAACGAAATAGTCATAACAGCACCAGCTCACTTGAATGATTCCTAGGGTCAGGCCGCTAAAGATTCTAGACCCATTCCTGGTCTAGAATGTGTGTGTTTTGAATCAGTGAGCCAGCTACTGCCGTGGCTGTTT